AGCTGTGTCATTTTCTCTCCGAGCAGACGCCTCAGGAGGATCTTGTTGGCTACGTGATCTGGTTTGCATCGTTCCCACAGACGGCGCCAAAATGATGATGCTAATTACTAGCTCACCTGGGGTGGTGTAAAAAACGAGCTGGGAGAGCAAAGCAGATCAGTAGCTTGACAACTTGATGATCCTGAGGTACCTGCGATCATAGAACACATGAACTAAGCCGGGGGTTGATCCGGCGGAAACCCCTCCGACGCTCAAGTCAGACGTGCTGATCATAGAAATAGTCCAGAGAATACGTATTATAGTATTGCTCAGTTAATAGGACGTACCTTAATAAAATGAGTAAAACATCTATTTATATGTCGTTTATTGGGTTGTGTTTGCTTTGTTGGGCCCAAACCTTACTTGAAGGTGTTTGGGCCTCGGTGATATTAGTCTTCGATATTGGGCTCGTAGCCCAGTAGGTAAAGAAATTGTAGGCCCATTGGGTTGGCCCAATTAGGCATATCAGATATCAATTTTGGACAAAATTTGAAAATGCGGTCCGGACGCGGACCCGCCGGGCCATGTCTACTGTATTACATCTATGGCGGTTTAGGTGTTGCAGCTCGACAGGACTTCTAGTAAGGTTTTTTAGTACGTAGTTTGGTTTGGGTTGGAGTTGAATGGGCCCACCAATTATTTATATCCTGATTATCTGTGCAATGACTTGAGTGCCCTTACCAAATTCAACAATTCCCAATTCAATATTCATCATCGAATTGAAATCTGACGGTGCGTATTAACCTGGATGCTAGGGTTGAAAATAGTCATCAACTATCGAGATCAAATGGGAAGTAAGGCCAGGTGGCATGCATGCTTGTCCACAAAATTAGAGTCTCCACAGTACTCTCAAAATACAAGCAACTTCTACATTTGGTAATTAATTAATTCTCTATTTAATTTCTTCCTATCATGTACAAGCTTTCTAAGGTTTATTGACTAGTATTTTGATTTCGAATGTTTTTCAGATTTTTCGAATGTATAAATGTATTATATAATTAACTTTGATTAATTACCATCGAAGAACACTGATGAACAAACACATTTAACATTTATAACGAATCAAATAAATCATCACAATAGCATATCAAAGAGATAATTAAATAAAATAAAAAACTTAAAAGAAGAAGAATCCAGCGGCGGCGACAGTGCCCACGGCGGCGGAAACTCTCAAAGCTGCCGCACCATTTTTGGGTGCATCAGCAGCAGGGGCGGGTACGTCAGCGGCGGCGGGGGTAGGTGCACCAACGGGGGTGGGTGCATCAGCCGGGGCGAAGTCAGGGGAGCTAGCCTCGCTTCCGGGGGAAGGCGGAGATGAGGGCTCCTCCTCCGGGGAGGCGGCGGCGGGGGAGGTGGCGGAGTCGACAGGACCTTCTGAGGCTGGGACGGCGGCGATTGTGGGAGATGCGACGGGTACTGCGGTTGGGGCGGAGGTGGGGGCGTAGGCCGACTTTGATGGGGCATTGGCGGGGGCGCCGGAAGGAGACTGGGCGGAAACCACCGCGACAACGGCGGCGAAGATGAGGGCGAGAGCAATCACTTGGCGTGCCATTTTGTTGTTTTTATTTTTGAACTTTATTTAGTGATTATGAATTTAGATTATTGTTTTATTTAATTGTTGATTCTTGTTTGTATTTGCAGCAATTCTCTTATGGGTTAGATAGAGAAAGACTGCAACTGCAACGCTCAAGAATGAAGAAAATAGTATGGGGTGGTGGGGTTTTTATATTATTATATTTGCAAATACAGTTGATGTTTTCTCGGTTGTTCGTTTGTTGACCGCCGTTTTTAAAGGCCACCCCACATATTTTATTCATACTGATAACGATTCTCCACTATTTTTTGGGGGCTACCTAAATTGAATTTTCATCATTGGTTATTAATTAATGTAAAAATGTAACAATCACACCTCCTTGAAACTTATTTCAATTTTAATTACTCAGAGCCCATCAGTGCAAAGCCCAACCACCACCAGGCCCATCAGATGCAAATAACAACAAAATCAATATTCATTAATTAATTCACAATATTTATAATTAATTAATTAATTAATTGAATATAGCTCACCCATAACTTCCTCTTAAGCTACTGACTGCACTCGCCTGAGAGAAACGTCCTCTACCGGAAACCGCCTCACCACCAATAATGCAGTGCCACTGAAACTGATTCATTTTTTTTGATGTGGTGTTGAAAAGCTGAAGGCGGAGAATTCGACGACGTGATTTCCCCTCCTTCCGTCTGTCTACTCAGAAAGTTTTTCAATCTCTTTCATTTTCCCCAAACGTCCTACGGTAAATTACAGGAATCCTGTTGCTCTAGGGTTCCTCTTCCCTCAATTTCAGCTTTTGTTTTTACTATAACCTTAGCTAGAATTCAATTTTTATGTACATTTTGTTTCTTAGTATTTGGATTATTATAATTCCCTTTTAATTAATTTATTTTATTTTTCATTTTCTTCACTGCGGTTCAATCGGTCTTTAATCTACATCATGATTTCTCTAGCCTCTTTCAGTTTTAGTTTATATTTGTTGTTACATTTTAAATTCATCTGAATTTAGTTTTACCCTTTTTTTGGGGGGGGGGGGGGGGGGGGGGGGGGGTCGGTGATGGATATTTTTATCTTTAGATGCTGTCGATGTTGTTCTGTTCTAGTCAATGAGGGATATTTGTAGAATATTCAGTATCATAATGAATGATTGGTACTGCGGGAATGCAAATACCAAGCTCAATTTCGAAAATAGGTTTGGAAATACATGATATCATCAAATGATGCATGTGTTCGATAAGAATCTACATGCACTATAACACCCTTGTTGCCAATCCTTTATCCTTGCAGAATGCACTGTTTATTTTGACTATAATTAAGATTTATTGTTCACTATGTACTGGTTCTTGAATGTTATCATTCATGGGCAGCAAATACTAATGTATGGGTATTTTCGCATGGGGTTGCTTAATGGGCATGGCCATTGACTGTTCATGTAAACTGCTAATTTGCATTTTTTGTAATCGTAACTGGAGTATTCTAAGGGGTGAACTTCCTATTCGTGGTGATTATTTTGGATATCACCAATTAGTATAAAAGTTTTCACTATCTTCTTCTGCAGATTTGTTATGTCAGAAAATTCACGGGATCTAACTGCTTCTGGGGAAAGTATTAATGTTGGACCAGACTTCTTTGGTTACTATGCAAGTGAGGTTGCACAATTACTGTCTCAAGATGAATGTCTTTTTCCTTTTCCTCATCCAGTTACTCGCTTAGCCGGAAACCTTCATGATGTGGTCAGAGAAAAGGCGTCAACTGAGAGTGGTTGCAGAAACAAAAAATATATTGGTATTAAGGGTTCTGCTCCATTGTTTTCTACTGGAATAGGAGCTCTACTTTCAGATTTCAAGAAGGAACGATTGAAAATACTGGTTCGGCAGGGGGTTTTTACTCTTACTCAGGAGGTGGATGAGGTAATCATGAAATATGCTTTATCTTTCCTTCTGATAGGAGATTACTGCTAAGAGCATATTGTTTTGCCAAACTTGTTATTAGAGTAACTGTGTGATTTCGTGCACTGGGCTGTGCATGAAGCTTAAAACTGGAAAAAAAGTATATATTCATTAGTTTGTTGCAAATTGTATTGTTTAACTTTCTTATCCCCTTCTTTCTGTGTCTTTAAATGTTTATTTATCCAGATGATAGATCCTGTTATTTCCTTTTGTCGATTACAATCATCTTTGAGATGCAAAGACACCCTTTTAGGCTTGGATGCCTCAACATGCAAGGCTGATCAGCCTCAACACCCTCACAAGAGGCTCAAAGTCTTACCTGCATTTTCGGTGAGCATCTCTAAATGCTACTTTATTTGGTGGTGAGTTTAGTGATGAAGTTTGAAGTTTCAAGTGGTAGTTTCTAAGCCATGCTGCATTCTTTCATGTCATGAACTCTATCATATCAACAGTTGTATGAATGCATAATTTCTTGAGATTGTGTTTGTGTAAATTCATGTGACATTCTTCCTTTGCCTTCTTATATACAGGATTCAGAAGGTGAACATATGAATGTGGCTTTACCAGAAAAGGAATCGTCCAATGATGTTGTGAAGAAATGCAGCCATTGCCAAACAACTAGTGCTCCTGATGGGACCAAGGTTGTGACAATGTCGTTTTTTTCCTTGTTACAGATATGATGTTTCCGTGTAGATATAACTGACGGGGCAGAAAGTCTCTCATGTAGTTAATAACCTAGGGAGGAGGAAAATATGGTAGTAACCTTTAGTTGACCTAATGCTTTTCGTGCTGCTCTCTTTCCGATTTCACTTATGTTGGTTTACACCAGTGTTCTAAAAATCGGCCGAGGCGGTCGATTAATCGGCCGACTCGGCCGAGGCGGTCCAAAACCTTTACGATTTTAGTGTAAAGGTTTGAAAAATCGGTTTTTTGCCTGTGAGGCGGTTTTAGGCGGTCTGAGGCGGTTCGAGGCGGTCTGAGGCGGTCAAACCTTTAAGGCGGGTCAAACTCCGTGGCAAAAATCGGTCAAAAATCAGTTAAAAATCGGTTTTTTTTTTTTTTTTTTTTTTTATAATTCAAAATAAAAGTTGGATTTTAATAAAAGAAAATATGACTTTATACCTCATTTTGTTTATGTTAATTATTATTGTTAAAGAACTGAATAAATGTTAATTCAAAAATTTTGCTTTTTTATTTATATTTTATAAGGATATTTATGTATTATGATCTTATAATTATTAAACTTTTATTATGTTATTAAGATATATACATGATGGAGATATAACTATGTTTAAATATCTTTTTATATATGTTTGGAGTATTTATAAATAATATTTAGAAATATATTATATTAAATTTTAAAAACCGATTTATTTCCGATTTATCACCGATTAATCACCGCCGCACCGATTAATCGTGAGTCGGTGCCTGACCGACTCGGACCCGATTACCGCCTTTTACAACCTTGGTTTACACTAAGTTGATTTCATTTACGATGGTTTCAAAAAATAAAAAATGTTGCTTCTTAATCATAGAAGTTCTTACGTTGGTCATTTTCAAAGTCTTACATCGCGGAAACAGAGAGTCTTCTACCACCATTAACATGTTTTCATATAAAACCAAAATGTATGTTCCTCTATGGTATATATTGCTTTCATGGTATATTTATTGCATGTTTTGCTTTGTTTGACTTTGCAATGTGGCTTCCATTCGTCTAATGAATTAGGATGCCATGAGCTCTGTGAATGGTTAGCATATCTCATCACTGAAGTTTTTATTGAAGCACATTTAAGATTTTGAAGCATAGGGAAGAGATCGTTTCATAATTTACGCACTGCTACTGTTAATATAACCGTTTAATCCTTTTTTTGGTCTAGCCAGATGATTTATGACACTGCACTCATTTTCTAGACATTCTCTGGTTCACTGTGTAATACCCTATCATGAATTTAATGGTAGAGATGTAGAGTGCATAAGTTCAGTTGAATATGTTATTATTATTTGTTGACTAGAGAGTACCATTTACAAAGCCTAACTTCTCTTTCCTCTACTGTGCTCATTGTCCAGTCTATTTGCCATGCCTGTGGGCTTAGTTATGCAAAGAATCTGGAGAATGTATCGTCTATGAATTCTGATACTGAAGCTGGCGAAATAAGTAGAGATGTAGAGGTAACTGTCCTCCATTTATCTTCAATATATCACTATTCATTTTCACAATTGTCTTGATTCCGAGTACTACACTGATTTAGTGGACACATTTCTTTTAGCTTTTATTACAATCAAATACTTGAATATATATTCATATCTTTGCATAATCAGTTTATAAGGCACTGCATTGTTAAAACTATATATCAGATATGTTACTTTGAATGACAAAATGAGAAATACTATCACTCACCGAGAAACATATGAGTCATCTTGTTCCAATGTCTCATAAAAAAATGCCTATATGATTAGTAACTCTTGCTCAAGGGCTTGTCCCTGTTTGTGTTGTCAAGTGTGTGTGTGTTTGTGTGTACATATATATGTATATAAGCATATATTTCTATACTCAATATATTATTGTCCACCATGAACAACAATATAGTGATTTACAACAAGTCATGCAATAAAATATCCGATTGATGGAAAGTTGCTACTTTTATCTTATGCTTTCAGATTGATGATGATTTGAGGATTCTCTTAGAGAATGATAGTGCTGTGGTCGAGGAACTTATGAAGAAGCACTTTGATGAGTTCTCTGGCACGGTAATTGTATATAATGCACTAGTAGTTGCTCTCAAATTTATGTAGGATCAATTAGTCATATCATAAATTACTAAAACAGGATTGCTTTACTAACACCTTGTTGAATGCATTGGACAGTTACATCACATGGAGCAGAAACTTGAAGAACTTCTGAATAATTTAATGACCAGTTGCAGGTACTTACACGTTGTGCCAGGTTTCACTTATGAGAAAGATAGGCTTATATTAACATAATCTTAATTTTCTCGAACAGGCCAATGACCATTACTGAGAAGCAACGACTTCGTAAATTGATTCAGAATTTACCGCCTACAAATCTAGAGCGAGTGGTGGAAATCATTGGACATAGTAAGCTCTCAGAGGGAGATTCTTGTGATCAAGTGCACGTTGATCTGGACGAAGTGGTAATAGAAACACAAAAATGTTTTATTTGTTGTGCCAGTTAAATTTAAACTAATTTCGAAAACATGTTTGAATGATTTGTGGTCATTTTGTAGGAAGAAGTTACACTGTGGAGATTGTATTTCTATGTTACAACTGTCCAAGGTAGCATCACTCTATGAAGATTGGGAATAGAGAGAGAGAGAAAGAGAGAGGCTTCTCTTACAGTCCTCCTTATGTACAGCCCCAGCTTAATATTTTCCGTTGATTGTATACAACAAAGAAGCCTGCCCCCAACATTCAATACTGTTTTTACTTGTAAGTCTTCAACCATAATAATTAGCCTTTGTTATTCATACGTACAGTAGAAAAATCGTTCTTCCTTTCATCAAAGTTAACATAATAGAAATATTTTCTGTCAAGCTGAAACCAATACATTGTTGACAGAAAGAAACATATATTTGAAATAATCATGAAATGACAATTTGACATACTTATGAACTTCATGTACCGTGCTGAAACCAATACATTGTTGACAGAAAGAAACATATATTTGAAATAATCATGAAATGACAATTTGACATACTTATGAACTTCATGTACCGTATTACTATGGACTCACTCGTTTGGAGAAATTGAAATGAAACTGGAGGTGAAATGGGGAATAATATTCGTAAACGTAATAATACAAAAAAAATCGCATAGCAAACAATAAATAAGAACTAGAATCCACGTCGTGGTCTTTCCTCGGCCACGTTAACTCTAATTGCCCTGCCCTCCAAACTCTGCATCGAAAAATTACACAAGATGATGAGATAAAAACATGCAGCGATAGTTTCTCCAAGTTAGTTTTTATTCGGAAAAAAGAAAAAGTGGGAACGGATTAATCAGTTACCTCTCCATCAAGAGCAGCAATGGCATCATTTACTTCAGCCTGAGTGGACATAGTAACAAAGCCAAAACCACGAGAGCGGCCAGTTTCTCTATCGAAAACAACTCTAGCGTCAATCACTTTGCCATGTTCGCTGAAAAGCTGCTCCAACTTAGCATTATCCACTTGCCATGGTAAGTTACCTACGTACATTCTAAACGAAGGCTCGTATGTTCTAGGTGCCCTCTCTGGCTGAGACCCTCTTGGAGATGCCTTGTTTACCGTTAACAGTCTTCCATTTATATCCTGAAGTACATACCGTAAATCAATCGGAATAAAGAATGACCTCAAAAAGTGATTAATTCAAGAAGAAATACATCCATTTATAATTCTTTTCAGGTCACTCACTATAGTAAAGGTAAACAAAAATAAAAATAACTTACGTAGCGGTTGAACATCTCTACAGCCTTCTCAGCTTCTTCCACAGTACTCATTGTCACAAATCCAAACCCTCGGCTTTGCTCTGTTTGCCTATTGTAAATCACCTGCAAACAAAGAAATCAAAAAAGAAAATAGATTTTGATGAACACCAACCAATCACATTTACTAGAAAAGAAAAGAAAAGAAAAGAAATTTTCGAACCTCGGAAATTTCGACAATTCCGGCCTTGTTAAAAAGTGTGGCCAATTTCTCGCTGTCGACATCGTAGGGCAAATTTCCGACAAAGAGCTTGGCCTCCTCGGACAGCTCGGCTTCTTCGAAACCCCCACCATCACTAGCACTATTAGTTTCGAGCTCGCCCTCCTCATTCTTCTCTTCTGCTTCTTCTTCTTCTTGTTGGGCCCAATCTGAAGTCTGGGCAACAAAGGGGACAATTTTGAAAGAAGAATTCTTGGGTTTGAGTGAAATGGAAGAGTGGGGGGAGAAGTTGATTTGGCGAATGGAGAGTGATGGGGAGATGGAGGCGGCGAAATTGGTTTTGGGCACAGTTGTTGTGCTACAACACTGAACCAATTTCAGATGAAAAGCTGTTGCAGCACTCATTTTTCTTCTTCTTCTTCTTCTTTGTGCTCTGTGCTTTGAGCCTTAAGGGAAGACAAAGATGAAGAAGAGGATGAAATTTGGTTGTAGATAAGAAATTTCAAACCACAATAGTGCGTGCAAATAGTATACTAGGTGTTGCTGATGTCACTTGCTGTGGTTGACCTAAATCCAAACAAAATCCTAAATCAGAGAGCTCAGGCCCATCTATTATTTATTTACTAGTAATACACCCGTGCGTTGCACGGTGAATATAGTGAAGAATGTTGTGTTATATTATGGCACATAATCGAATAGAGTGGGAAAAAATAATTTTAAGAATTTTAGAAAAATCCATGGAGTTTTATCCGGAAAAAAAAGGATAATCTATCGAGTGATTTTTGTTAATGATCATTAAAATAATAGTTATATGAAGTAAAACAAATTATATTATCTCCAACTGAAAATACAAAATATTGTCATAACCAAATAATACAACTACTTTTCTTCAATGTACTTTCATCATCAGTGCAAATAATAACACAATAACAACAAAATAAAAACAAATGCTTAATTCAAATCAACCATTACATGTAAATAACCTGTAAACAAAATTAGATTCTTATTTGAGATAATTACAAACAACCTAAAGATAATGCTGGATTAAGAAAAAATGATCCTTGTTTGGACAATTACAACCATCCATTTGAGGTTCTCTCTTCACTTAGTACCCTTTTTTACTCAAAATGTTACAACCTCCTTATTGTATTCATAATTATTTAGAATATTGTTTAAGAAAAATAAAACATAACGGGATCTCATGATGCGTACCAATAGCTTTTAAGCTCATTATCCAAATATTTAAAAAATTAAGTTTAAAAATAAGACATAACTATAGACCAACTCTTAAAATAGCTGAGCATATGTTTACAATAAGGCAGAATCAGAAGATGGAATATTTCCTCTTCATTTGCACGTCTTTTTTGTTGCCTAATAACTTTAGTCCGAACCTCGTAAGCCTGAATGACTTCTGCTAGCTGTTGCTTCAAATTCTATATAAAATACTATGATACTGAAATAATGACAAAAACCCACATACATACATAAGCATGGTAGATATAGTTAAATCATTAAATAAAGCATAAATATAACACCTAATAGCCACATAATTTGAAATATGTGAGTAAGAGGTTTTTGTTACCCAAATTTCATACATAAGCACTGTAATACGTAAATTTCCACATAATTCGAAATTCATAAGTAAGGGAACGTTGGTACCCAAAATTTCCTATATAAGCACATTTATATTTGATAGGCTTCATCGTAATCAATAATTACTAATGGTGCAGTTTACTCATATCCAGATGAATGTCAATATAATCTAGTATAATGAGCATAAACCTCACTAAGAATACAAAAGAATTTCTCCATTCCCTTAATTAAAATTTGTATAAGAAAATAAGAACTTGTTTTTTGTATTCGATAGTTCCCACCCAGGTGCAAACAGTGAAATCATAATAACCACAAAAAATTTGAAATCTGAAAACCTTTGGAGACCTAAAAAACCATAAAGCGGGATTGATCGATAATCATAATAAGACCCAGATTTTCGGAAGAACATAAAGTCGTAAATCTAGTGCATGGTCGATCCACTAACCTTATATGGGGGAGAATTTTGATAAAGCGACTAATAGTTATCATCTGCAAGAAAAGCAACACAAAATATAACTAATAGTATTTGAAGGAAAATAGTGTGTGTTTGTGTATATTGAAAAGGGGGAGGGTAGTAACAAAACATAAGATGGCATAACCAAAACTCTTGGCTATCAATTAAAGAACCTATAAGACAGCATACTGAAGCCAACTTAACAATCCTACTACGGATATGAATGTGGCGGACGGAAAAGAATCACCTAACTACAGCAAAACACTTAAAAAGACTACCACTAACTCTAAAATGAGGTAAAAAAATTCTAAAATACGGTAAAAAAAATTATGAAGCTAAAATCCAGACTGACTGCTTAAAGAAATGAGAAAAAAAAAATCCAATGAGATGCATTTCTAAAATCTGCCCTTACGAAATAGAAACAAAAACATAAACACAGTACATCACACACATATACATTGCATTGCACGGAACACATTAGTGCACACACTTTCATATCTTATATGAAGAAATAATTGAAAATAAGAACCCTTGCTTTTCTCTACTGCTTTTAAAAAACATGCGGAAGTTAAAAAATTCATACCCGAAAAAACTTGATTTTCCCTGCTGCTTTTGTATGTTCAATTGTCAGAAAATTGAAATGAATTATACAACCTGCAGTTATACCAATAAAGCTAAGCTGTGAGAAAGATAAAAGACATTGATAAATTAAAAGGACCTTGAAAGAAAGCAATAAAAAACATCGAAAAAGTATTGGACGTCACTATAGTGAAATGGTCACTCAAACTTTTCATGGAAATGTAAATTCAACATACTATGTCCAGATTCCACATAGCTTAATTAAATTTCAAACATAGCATTTAACTGAAATTACATGCCAAAATACTAATTTAATTTCTCACTTCAACAGAATACTCCTTCTTTTTAAACCTAAACTATAGCAAATAAAATCATAACTCATTACTAAACAAATTAAAACAGTTTGGGAGGAGATGGGGATACAAACGTGTTTTATTTTTTTCTTAAATAGCCCTTGGATTATCAAAAAATTATAAAAACTGCCCTAGGATTGTGAAACCCTAAAGTGCCACGTGTTAACATATTCTGACATAGATTGTCTTTTCAAAGTGTCAACATAAAAAAATCCCACTTTCATTATTTATTATTTAAAGAAATAAAATTTATAATTCCACGATACTGTATGTGGATGTAGAAATTGTTCTTGTTTATTTATTATTAACTATTTTTTTTTTTTTGCTAAAAAAATCCGGAAAATAATTATTATATCACATTTTGTACCAGAATTTTAACTCAGTGGAGTTTTTTCAGCATTTATAGTACTAATTTTTTGCAAAGTGATATGTTCACCTGGCTCGAAGGAGACACCAAATTGGCAGGGCTATTACTATTAGCTGTATACGGAAGCATCGAACGACTGTATCTCTGAGACGGAATGCTGAGCTGTTCGTAAAGCGCCATCTTGTTTCTCGGAGGAGCTCTCGGCCCTCCTTTCTCAATATCATTCACATGAAGCCTCAGAACGTTTGTTACGTAGTAAATGAAGAGACACTTTCAAGAACAGAGTATTGTAGATATACACACACACGTATACATTAAGTTTATAGAGAAAATTCTTATGCTTAAATTTTAATTTTTATGACTGAGATAAAACTAACCTGAATTGAAATACTATTTCTTCTCTGGGCAAGAATGGGAATATTTCTCCAATTTAACGCATTTGTCTGTCTTCACAAATCCGAAATTGGAAAAGCCCCATTTATGTATGATCTTCGTTGATTATAGAAACAATTGGATGCAGAACACTACCTGTTTGAACAAAGAAACTTAATAAGTGAACTTTTGGTATATATTTCTTAAAAGATAACAATGTGGAATTTAGAAGCCGAATTTGTAGAATTCATGTGCTAAATTAGAGATTGTTACCCTCCTTTTCTTTTGCAGGGAATGGAGCTGTATCCTCGTATTGGCAAGAAGTTTGATATCAAAGTTTTTACAAACTGCAGATTTGGAATGATGTCGTGGGCTGTTCTTGCTGTGACGTATTGCATTAAGCAGGTAGATAGCAATAAAGATTCTGATACTTATCCTATGTCTCCGTATATTTGGTCTCCAACATGCTTGGTACAAAGTCCTAAATGATCAATATGTAATTTTTAATCTAATTGGGCAGCAACCAAGTTATCCACTTCCTGAGCCAAATGATGTCATTTGCTCACATATTAGTGCTTACAGTGGCATTATTATATCTTAATCCTATATGTAATACCTTGTCTTCTTCTTGTTTCAAAGTCCTCAAATGCAATGACTTATTCCTACAGAAATTACCATCTAATAACGTCAGAATTCACTTGTAATGAGTGTGCTGTTTTCTTCATCGGAATTGTTGAAGGAATTCTACGTGATATAATAAGCAAGATGCGAGGAAACTGGATAACGTAAAAGAGAAGATGAACAAATACAGAAAAAATCAAACCGTCGTCGGAAAACATAGAAGAAGTTTTTAAATCTCTAAAAAAAAAGCCCCTAAAATAGGGAAAAAACAGAAAGTAAAAAAAAACCAACCCAAAGCAAATGAAAGAAAAGCCTCTAGGGAAACCAACAATTACAAAAACTGCCCTAAGGGTTTTGAACACTGGTAAATAAGCTTCAAACGGCAATAAAGTCTTACCCCATTACCCCATAACCTGGAGATTCTATCTTAAAAGGGGATTGAATCGGTAAATTATGCAATTATAAATAAGGTTTTGCAGAAATATGTAGATTTCCGATTTGAAGAAAGAAAACCCAAATTTATGGAAAAAATCATGTCCGATGGAAATTCCACAATTTTGTTTCGTTCCCAAAGTTTGTGTTTCCTCTGTTATTTCCGGAAATTTAACTCTTACTTGAAATTTGGAGCACCGTCGACAGAGGCTGCCACCGGCAAACAATGAGCGGCTGCTCCACTCCCACTTCCGGACCAATTTTGTTGATTTATCTGCAGACGGAATTTTGAAATCTTCAATTTTTTGTAAAAAATTCTGTAATCTTCAATTTTCTGTAAAGATTTCTATGAACGATGCGTTGATGCAGTTGAGGAGATATGTGTTGTGTAGATAAGTTTTTATTTTTTATTTTTTATGAAACGGTGTTTTTTAGATTGGGCATATGAAAAACCGTAAAAAAAAAATTACAAAATCACTCCATAGGACTATAATAATTACAGAAAATGCCCCTAGGGTTTGAAACCCTAAATGCCACGTGGCAGCATATTATGCCATGGATTGTCTTATTATATATATATAGATTATCATTTATCACGGGGTATTTTTATTTTTTATTTTTGTTCAATAATTATGTTTGCTTGTTGATTGGTTATTTTTTATTTCTTGAGTATTTTTCCACTTAATAATCATGTATGAAAATTGAAATCTAAATTATTTTTTCTAGCTCGCTCTTTCGGAATTCTGGATTTAACTTAATTAATATGTTGCAAAGATCCAAGTTAATCAAGAAACATAAGTGTATATAAAGTGTGACAATTAATTAATTAATAATAATATTACAATTGGATCATCAAAAAATATATTAATCATAAATAGGTTTAAAGTTCTTGTAAGCAATGACAGCATAGAAAGGATCGGATGATCCTGATAAAAAACCCAACAGCCCACTAATCCGACTCAAAATCGAGTTATTATCTCCTAATTTCCGGATAATTTGAGTTTGAGTGAAACCCTCCACACACTGAAAGTATTCGACAACCAACTGCACGCGGCTGTACGCAGTCCCATCTCTCCACGCGCTTATTGCTTTCTCGTAGAACAACCTGTTACTGAAGCTCACTACCAACACTCCTCCTGGCCTCAATACTCGGAATATCTCAGCAAATACCTGTATTATTTATTATTGTTATATATATATCAAATCAAATGCAAATTAATTCACAGTAATGAAGAGAGAGAGAGAGAGATCTAGAGAGAGAGAGAGAGAGAGAGAGAGAGAGAGAGAGAGAGAGAGAGAGAGAGATTATGTATACCTTTTCAGGCTGCTGAAGATACTGGACGCTGACGGTGCACAAAACGGCATCGAAAGTGTCGTTTTGCATTTGGAGTTGTTGGTCGATGTTCAAATCCTTGACGAAGAAGTAATCCAGCCTGGGATTTCTGGAAAGTTCCTCTGCGTTCAGACCGTGGCCGACGACTTTCTTGTAGTTGACTTCCTGGGGCAAATGGCTGACCCAAGAACTCATCAGGTCCAGAATTTCCATTTCAGGCCTCAGAATTTCCCTGTAAAGATCTGTCAGTTTGGATATGAATTTGTTGTCCACGTGTGTCACCAGACGAGGGTACGCGTAGAATTCCCTGTCTGGGTTGCTGTTCGCTTTTGTTCTTCCCTGTTTCGTCAGGACAAGCCGTTTTATTCTGCCGGCGGATGAAGTACTGGAGTTGTTGTCTGCATTCTGTTGGGTGCTGCAGATTATAATTGGACGGAAAGTTAGGTTTCTTGATCTGGGGTGGGATGTAGATGATTTTGATTTGTTTTCATCGGAGAAGTGCTGCCATTTTTGGGGGCTCCGGCGAATGGCGGACATCGCTCTCTCTCTGAAAATTGGATTTCTTTCTTGTCCACCGGAGATATCATATATGTGGGAGAAAATGGATATGTTGTGAAGATTGGGCCCAAATATTTATTGAGAGTTGGGCCTATTTATATTTTGTGTAAATGGGCTTTTGGGTCCAAAAATGATAATCGCCCTTCAATCCAAATTCTAATTGAAGATTTGAATTGGAATTAATTAAATTAAATAACTGGAGGGGCTGAATTTATCATTTGTAAAGAAAACACGGTGTTATTTGACTCGAGTTTGAACGTATTTTTGTCGGTACTTATTGGTAAAAGAGTTATAAGTAAGATTAGGGCCAATTTTGAAAGAGAAGAATAATAACAGGTGAAGAGACAAAGGTAATAGTAATTAATTATTAATTATTAGTAATTGGTATTTATTTAACTGGAGTGATTAAGGCTTTAAGCTTTTGTAAAAAGGCATAAGGATAGGGACATGATGATTGAATTAGATGAATATATCCATCCCCTTTCTTTTTATGTTAGCTTATATTTATTATAAACTCATCAAAGTCTTACCCCCACGAGTGTTAGGGGGGCCGCCTGCCTGCACACTATTATAAAATGCAAATATATATATATATATATATGAGACAAAACTCAATAAAAATGAAGCCTTTTCTATCATTGAATTTATATTGTCATTAAAATGTGAATTACAATGGTGGTACAAGAAAGGAGAAATAAGAAATAATGATTGTAATTAATTTAGTGTTGGTTAGTGATATCCAGCTGCTAATTTGTAGAGAGGGAGAAGCTTCTAATTGAGTCATTTTTTGGGGGTCCCAAATCCAACTCGTGCAACCATATATATATGCACACTTGCACATTTCTATCATTTCCTTTCTACTTTTTTTCCTTTTTTGCCTCTTGCAAATACATTTCAATTATTGTTTTACTATGTTTTGGAACTTAATTTATAAGAATATATGAAAATGAATTAGAATAGAATAATATTTTGAGGGTGATCTATATTTAATTGTAGTCATAAATATGCATTTTTCTTATTCTTATGTTTAAGTATCCATACTACACACGTCTCTAATTCATGCGGTACTAACACTCATTATATTTTTTATAAAAGTGCATCTTCAATTTTCAAAGGAGTTGATTAGTTATTAGGGATACTTAGCAATACCCCTCATCTAGGTAAATGAGTTAAGACAATCCCCTCCCAAAAATAATTTGGGAAAACCTCCTCAGTTAGTATTCCACCAAATAATATTTTTATAATTCCAAATCTACCCTTAATTGTCAATATACTATTTTGAAACCCTAATTTCTTTTCCCAAATTCACCTGCCTCGCCACTGCCTCTCCCCGCCGTTCACCGCCTTTCACCACCGCCACTGCCTCTCCCCCGCCGTCCACCGCTACCGCCGCCAGATCCTCACCGACCACCACTGTCCCCTCGTCGTTCCACCGCTTCCACGTTTCCGGCGAAGACGAGCAGAAACGGCGGCAGAGATCCTAGCTCGTAGATCCCGTATCTCTTTTGGATGCTCATCCAGTACTCGAGCTTCCGCGTGAAGCGGTGGCTCCTTCACTTGGCGAGGTCGATCACCATTACTCACTCAGGTGTTGAAGTAGCAGAGCTTGCGATTTCTGAAGGTGGTGGAGAAGAAGGGGTTTGAGTTTGACCAGAACTTGGGTGTGAAATAATTCATAAACAAATATGGATATATGCTCTCCTTTCTCTCTTCCTTATTGTAATTATCGCATTTATATTTTCAGTCAAGGGGAAAAGAAAACTCTGACCAAGTCCGGCGGTGTGGTGACGATGGGGAGGCTGATTTTGAGTTTTTTTGTGGATCGGACGGAGGACGGCGGGTGTAGAGAACTTCACGCAGACTGGAACCTTAATCGACTATGTACATGTTCAATAGTCGATTAAGCTAATCGACTATGTTCTGGCAGTCGATTAAGGTTGATCGACTCCATTTTTTTTTTTTTGAATTTTTTGTTTTATTGATTCCAAGTGTATAAATTAATTATAATGTTTGTACATTTTTTGTTTTTTGTAAAATATAGTTGATTTTGCATTTTTTTGTAATTGTGATTTGTTATGTTTAGTAGCAGATTCTTAATCGACTATGCTTCATCATAGTTGATTAATATACCTGATATAGAAAAACAAAATTTAAAAACAAAAAAAAATAAAAAAAATAAAGAATTTCCTTAATCGACTATGAAGCATAGTCGATTTAATCGACTATGCTTCATAGTCGATTAAAAAAACGGAAAAATAAAATAAAAAATCGCGGAGCAGGGCGTGACCTTGTGATGAGGTGGCGGGAGGGGGTAAAACTGGAAAACATAATGGCTGATAATGGGTATGAACTTTTCTCAAATGGACTAAAATATTTTGGGCCTCCCTCAATTAAAGAAAATAGTGAGGGGATTTTCTTAAAGAGCCCCTAGTTATTATATTACCAAGCTGTGCACGAAGCATACAAGTATTAATAAGGTATTATATATAGTTACTTAGAAGGTAAAGCCAAAATACATGCAAAGAAAAAAATAATGAGAATAAAGATTACGGTCGGGTTTTCATTAAAGAACATCAACATCATCCATTTAATAAAGTAAACTAATATAATCCCTCTTTCGAAAGTTTTGTATTTTAGACTCAATTTGTTCCCATCTTGACTCCACTTTTGGGAACTTGCTGTTTTTCTTTACTCATTATTATTTAGTGTCACCACTTTCTTACTACTAGCTACTAACATTTCAGATAATTCATACTCCTATAATATATATATATATATATATAAACTTAATTACATATTTGTTCATATTTATAGTAAGTAATTACTCCATATAGTCAAAGATTATAATTACAACATTTAATTTCCTTTTAATTCTCACTTAATTATATAATATTGGTAAGTTGAGAGAATAATCAGCTGCCCTGATTTCTTCGCATATAATGCATACAATCCAAACAGACCCTCTAATTAATTAACAAAATATTACTATAAATGATTTTATCTATTGTATTCAATCAACTTTTATTTGCCATTAGTATATATATCACAGTAGAGGTAGTATGATCAATATTAATTTCCTCAACATTAGAAAAATAAAACAAGGAAGAAATCCAGGGATTCTGTGAGGAATGTCAATCTATTTAAAGGGCTAATGAGGAGGGAAGACTTGCTGCTTTTCGATAAACAGAGTGGATCAGACATACATTAATATCGAATAATTAAAATGGCTGCATCGTTTTTGGCTGTGGTGTTTAGTACTACTCTTTTCTCAGGAATAGTTGTTTTCGTTTGTAAGCTATTTGGCTGCATTCGCAAGGAAAAACCGATCGACTTATTACCAAGAGGAAGCATGGGTTGGTTTCCGTTCCTAGGAGAGACTCTTGCCTTTCTCAAGCCGCATAAATCCAACTCTATCGGCACCTTCTTGCAACAACATTGCTCTAGGTACGTACGTACGTACATACATACATAATTTATGATCGGATTATATTAATGTAATTATTATAATTGTGACTGCAGGTATGGAAATATATTCAAATCCCACCTATTCGGTGGCCCAACAATAGTGTCTTGTGATCTGGAGTTTAATGTTTTTATTCTTCAAAACGAGGAGAGGCTGTTTCAGACAAGCTATCCTAAACCTGTTCACGACATTCTTGGGAAGTTATCGATGATGCTCGTTTCTGGAGATCTTCACAAGAAACTCAGAAGTGCTGCTGTTAGTTTCATTAATGTTTCCAAATCGAGCCCTGATTTTCTTTCTTATGTCGACGACTTATGTATCTCTTTGGTTGATTCTTGGAGAGATAAGAAGCAAGTTGTTTTCTTCAAGGAAGCGAAAGAAGTAATGATTATTTTTAACTTATAATTGTATTTTGTGTTTCTTTTCCAATTAAAGATAATTTTTTATAATCAAGAATGTGGGATTAATTTTGGTGCAGTTAACTTTTTATCTAATGCTGAAGAATCTGCTGAGCATCGAACCGGAAGATCCAATTGCTGGAGAAATACTTGGAGATTTCCTCACTTTCATGAAAGGTTTTGTTTCTCTGCCTATACTAATTCCAGGGACTGCTTATGCAAAAGCTGTCAAGGTAATTATTAATCAATGCCACTGATTTTTCCCATTCATTTATACGTCAAATTTACGCCGAATCATTTTCTGTTTATAATTTTTTACAGGCAAGAAAAAGGATATCATACACTTTAAAAGAAATGATAAGAAATCGGGAAAATGAAGGAATGCATAAAAAAAGAGGAGATTTTCTGGATGAACTATTGGGAAAAGTATGGCTGAATGACGAGGAAAAAGTGAGCATTTTGCTGGACCTTTTACTAGCTGGTTATGAAACAACTTCCGGTCTCATGGCCCTCGTTGTTTATTTTCTCGCGCACTCCCCTTCTTCTCTTCAAACACTCAAGGTATTTTGTAAGACTTTTTTTTTAAAAAAAATTTTTGTTAATAATTGTTAATAGTTACAAAATTTTAATATATTGTTTGAAAGAATAAGTCAAGAAATCATTACAATTCAGGATGAACACCAAGCACTGAGGAAAACGAAGAAAGATGGAGAGCCGTTGAATTGGGAAGATTTCAAGAAAATGGAATTTACTTCTCATGTACTAATTACACCATTTATATGTAACCAATTTGATTTTCTACCTCCATATATATTTCATTAAGGTGTTTTATTGATTGGACTGCTAATTTGTAAATTAAACAGGTCATTAGTGAATCTCTGCGTTGCGGGAATCTAGTTAAGTTTGTGCATCGGAGAGCTCTCAAGGATGTTAAGTTCAAAGGTGTCAATTATAGATTAATAATCATTTTTGAGATGTTCGAAAAATAGTTTCTAATTACATAATATATAATGATTATGCAGAGTATGTAATTCCAGGTGGATGGCAAGTTCTCCCCATTTTCACAGCTGCACATCTTGATCCCTCCATACATGAACATCCCTTGGAGTTTAACCCTTGGAGATGGGCTGTAAGTATCTGCTTTTCTTTTTCGTTTCATGTTTAATTGATTATTTTTCGTAATAATGATCGTGCTTTTGTTATGATGGTTAGGACCAAACAACGAGCAAAAAGGTGACGCCTTTTGGTGGTGGACTGCGGATTTGTCCAGGGGCAGAACTTGGTAAACTAGAGATTGCGTTTTTTCTTCACCATTTTGTTCTTCATTTTAGGTATATATATATATTTCTCATTTCTCATTTCAAAACTGCAATTAATATAACAAAAAATGATTTAGGTTACACAGTTATTCTGATTTAGTGGTGTTGATGAGTATTTGCAAGGTGGGAAGCAAAGGAAGAAGATTGTCCAATTTCATGCCCTTACTTGGATTTCAAGAGAGGTTTGGTTCTCCAGATTCACCAATTACACAAATAGCTATGCATGCAAATGTTGGATTTATGTTTTTGCCAGAAGAATCAAAGTTAAATGTGAGGGAAAGTAAATTGGTTTTTTATAGAGTATTAGAGACTATCAAATTTCTTCCAATTTGTTAGTCACATACAATTGGACTAATTAGTAATTACAAATTTACAATTACATACTTAATATAGGCGTTTATGTATAAATATAATGCACTCAAATTGTAGCTTCCAAACTCTAATTTCACGATGCGGACATATTATATAAGCAATAACAAGTATTAATGTTCAATTATAGGACATTAGGACTTAACTTGTAAAACTCGTACACATAAATAAAGAGGCTGTATTTTTTATTCTTTATCATCAAATCATATCAAATAAAATCAAATGGACTATTATTGACTGAAATTCGGAGATAATGAAATTAATTTAAGAATAAATAAGAAAACAAATCAAAAGAATTGTAGGCATGTCGGCGAATCATAATGGACACGCACACGTCATTAAATTCCAAAGCCCCTATCTCTCTCTCTGTTTTTTATTTAGTTTAGTTGGGTGAGATATTATTATTAATTTATTATTAATTATTATTATATATACACAAAATACAAACGTACGCATGCGTTCAATTCCTCACGTAATCCATAGAAGCCAGACACAGAGAAACAATCCCCTTCAATCTCTCCCTATCGTTACAAACGTCGTCGTTCTAGAGAAAAAAAAAATGTCGTTCGACTACCTTTTCAAGTACATAATTATCGGTGATACAGGTAACGAAAACCACTCCCTCCCCTCCAATTTTCCCTAAACCTTAAAACCCTAGTTCAATTTTGTTTTTCTTAATCTGAAATCTCTGTTCATAGGTGTGGGGAAATCGTGTTTGCTTTTGCAATTTACTGATAAAAGGTTCCAGCCGGTGCATGATCTCACAATTGGAGTTGAATTTGGTGCTCGAATGGTTACAATTGACGGCAGGCCGATTAAGCTTCAGATTTGGGACACCGTAATACCTTTACTCTTTTTTTTTTTTTTTGGCCATTTGATTTTCTTAATCCATTTTTTCATGCTTGATTGTCTGAATTGTGTTTGGAAATCCCAAACGAACTTCAATTTTTTGCTGTCAAACAGCTGCCGACATCGTTGGTAGTAGACCAAATGAGAATATTATAGGGTTTATAATTTCCCCAAATGCGTCTGATTATTTTGCTCTAATATAATTTATGTTTCAATTATACAGTTGCAGCTATAGGATTTGTTCATGGAGATTCCATTTTGTTTTATACTTAAATTTAGTCAACCCAATATCTTTTTTATCCTTTCAGGCTGGCCAGGAGTCCTTCAGATCTATCACTAGATCGTATTACAGAGGAGCAGCTGGCGCACTTCTGGTTTATGACATTACCAGGTAGAGGAAAAGTGATGCTCTTCATATGCACGATGTTGATTTATTTTGATTATAGGTGCATATTGTACTTGTTATTCAATTCTGTGCTTAAAGTTCCATTATGATTTGGCGGTTCATGATCTTGGTGTAGAAGTTCGGTTTTTCCTATGAAAGTTTGCGTATCTTGACCTATGCTATGGAAGCTATTAATGACTAGATTATACTGGAGCATGTATTATGTACTTCTACTTGCTTTTGGTAGTTGGTGGCTGACGTCAGTTGTAACAAGGGTTAAAAATGTTTTGGGGTTAGCATAGATGGGAATATCTACACAAAACAGAATTTCCCTTGAAAATAATTTGTACATACGCATGTGTGATGCATCCTATTTTAAGTGTTAGGGGAAAAATATATCCAAAACCTCAAATATTATGGCCACCAAATATCAAAAAAATTGTACACGACATATTTTATTTCTCTCTCTATCTCTACTTGGGATCAAATTCTTATATGATATAAATGAGCTTTTTTCTCTGAACTGAGAGTGCTATATTTGCGTAGGAGGGAGACATTCAATCATCTTGCAAGCTGGCTGGAAGATGCAAGGCAACATGCAAATCCAAATATGACAATCATACTGATTGCGAATAAAAGTGATCTTGCTCACCGAAGAGCTGTAAGCAAAGAGGAGGGAGAACAGTTTGCAAAAGAAAATGGACTTCTATTCATGGAGGCATCGGCGAGAACCGCCCAAAATGTTGAAGAGGTTCAAAATTTAGAGAATTTATTTTCGTTAATATTGTTGTAATTTAAATCTGATTAGTTTTCTTGATACTGTATGAGCAGGCATTCACTAAGACTGCATCCAAGATACTTCAGAAGATTCAGGAAGGCGTCTTTGATGTATCCAATGAGGTAAAGCAAAGTTCTTACGTTGTTTTTGTGGGCGTGCTATTAGGACATTAGTAGGAGAACCTTGCATTGTTTTTGCTTACAGTATGCATCAGCAGTACCCTATTATGAATAAATTATTCATGATTGTTGATTTGTTTGTGATTTTCTATACCATAGATCATTTTTGTTTCAAGATACTTGAAGCTTTTGATTTGACATTAATGTGGTAATCTGTAGTATGAAATATCATTCTCAATTTTATTGCACATCTAATATGTTTGAGTTGAAGATGCAGTCATCGGGGATCAAAGTTGGCTATGGACGTCCACAAGGTCCTGCAGGGGGGAGAGATGCAGTTGCTCAGAGAGGTGGATGCTGCAACTAACTGTGTAGATGTATCTATGGAATCACATTGTGGCTTTATAATCAGTGTTGATGAATTTCAATTGTCATGATATAACAGGAAAAATTAATAGAACTGTACAGTTGCTCTGTTCTATTGAAGTGATGTAAAATATGTGAAATTGGCTTCTCTGAACCTGCACTTGTGGTGTTACATGATATATATGTTATCGTTGTTGCTGTGTATATTTTGTGGCATTTTTTATCTTTGTCTTTTGATGTTTGTGCTCTGTTTAGGTTGAAAAAAGGAAGTTGTAGTCTTCTAATGGAGTAATTGCTTCTTTTTCAAAATTATGGATTAGACAGGAAATTGCTTCCTTTTCAATAAAATGTATGACTTGAGAAGAGGCTGTCGATAAACATAACAAGATGTCTAACTGGATGCATGATAACAACATGAAAAATAAATTATAAGCCAGATAAAATTTAGTCATTACTTATAGAAAATACGACCCTTATAACGACATTTTTTAACATAATGCAAATCCAGCATAATCATTATGAAATCATAAATTCAGCTGAAGCATCTGCGCTGCAGCAAATTACCATATCAATTACTCGAACTCGAAAGACAGTAGAAATCGTTGGCATTGTAGTAATTTTCGTGCTACACCAAAATTTGAAACAAATAAGATATACTCTGGCCTTGGCTAAATACAGACATGAAACAAAAATGAAACTATGAAATGCCGTAAAGTGAACTCGGGCGAGCAAAGAACTGCAGACGTTGCAGAGCCATGTAAAAACGATCACTACGAGCCACCAAAAACCTGAAATATGCATATGTGGGGTTTGTGTTAGCAATCAAAATTCAGTAGAGTGGTCATAATACAGGCATAGCTAACAGAGCAAGACACTCACTCCTGCCAGGATATCCTTTGACAATTGAGCCCTATTCTCTCCATTATCATTCGATACTGGTTTTTTCTGCGGAAACTGGCGCACCACTTTTGGTACCATTTCAATCTTTTTCTTCTGCATTGACAAATATAAGCGTTGGTATACACAATTCAAAGAAAAATAAGCATGACAAAGATATATAATCAATGCCTCAAATATTGGATAAAAGTCTGGTAGTCATAATAATATAGAGTAAAACTATTTAACAAAAATATAATATACATGCATACAACGGATTCACCTTTTTCAATCGTTCTCCTATTTTACTCAAGGTTTTGGACTGGTCTACTTTTGAGAGATAAAAGTCCCGCTCTCTTTTGGCAGCAGATAATTCCATTGCCAGTTTTTGCTCCCGAGTAGCATTCTTCATCGCTGAAAATTTATTCAGGTCAAGTCGATTCATGAGCAGCCAGAACAGCACAGTTAACAGAAAACTAAACAAGTTAAATCATGTACCTATCTCTTCTGTGAGATCATCCCACTTGAATTTGCTCAAGTATTTGATATTCCATAGGTCATAATAGAATGATGATCTTTTCTTTCCACCTGAATCACAGAATGAGAAGTGTAAACTATATATGGACAATTCTCATGCTATACAAAGAAAAATCGATCAATCCTCTCCTACATTTATCCAAAAGCTAGAGGAACAAATCCGCTAGAAAGGAAAATCTAAACAAGATAGTTCCATGATCTGATATCTTAATCCTTTCTTACAACTAATAATCCTCAAATGGCTTTCTTAATTAGCAAAATAAAGGTTAACACCAACATAAGGATACAACTGATTGGTTTTTCCTTGTGAAGTGCCCCTTGTTCATTGCATGTTAAAGTCTATATAAGTTCATGGAATTAGTCCGAGGAGTTTATCATCTGGTGCAGACTTTCTACCGAATATGATATACAATTTTAAGAAATGCTAAAATTCAAAGGAATGATGCATGAATTCAACAGTTTTGAATTACAGAAAGATCAGTCCAGTCAACATACCAATTTGCTCCCCGTTTAACATGTTAGCGACTCTCTTGGCAACTTTCTTGTCAGTGAACTCAACCCACCTGCATGGAGGAATTCATAAAGATGAGATACTGTTGATGGAAGTAGTCAAAATGTCTCCACTAGCAAGTTAAGAGTAATAAGGCAAACGTTAGCCATAATTCAGCATGGTAAAGAATTTAAAGTCATATGCACAAAATGTGAGCATACCCCTCTGAGAATTCTTGTCCTCGAAATCCACCTGACTTCTTTCGGCGCACTTGCGCAGCAGGATCTACGAAAAAAAAAAGGGGGATGCTCAGTGCGTAGCTAAATCAGTCTGGTAAATAAAAGGAGAGTTTCAATTGGGGAACCAAGCTCTACAAATAATGCAGAACTCTGTCGAACAATCACCGAACTATATTATTGCACCACACTGCTAATTCATGACATCCAACTAAGAGTCTACTCCAAAACTCGCATTTGCACCAAGTAATCGATAAGAAGTACCATTGACAAAAATACGATTTATAACCTTCAGGAGTGAGGTAGAGTCTTTGTAAGTCACCATACTGAGACAGAATCTGGCGAAGCTTCAAAGGATCCATGTGAGGAGGTACCCGACTTAAATAGCAAACACCGCGTCTCTCCGCCTTTTCAGCTTCCTTTAGCAACAGCCTCTTCCTTTTCTCTTTACGTTTTTCTTTCTCCATAGCTACCTTCAACCTTGCATCATCTTCACCTTGGGAACTTGCTCTCGCTACCCCTATTTCTTCCTCCGCCATTCCACCCCGATAAAACCTGTATTACGCTTTCAGAATTTTTTTATTTTAGCTTAACCAAACAATGAGCTACAAATAGGGGTGGGCATCAAGTACGGTAGTTTGGGTCGGGTGTCCAAGTAAGGTACCCAACACAGAACAGAAAAATCAGATTGCTAATTATTAGAATCTGTAATTGACATTTGATAATGGGCGTGACATTTGTAAAGAAACCTAAACCCTAACCCATTCCCTTTCTTTCTCTCCTTTAGTATTTCTCTCTTTTGTGGACTTGGTTCGAATTAGCAGTGCACAAATCATAAACCAAATTTGAACCCGAATTTGCTTTTATTTTCCAGTACTGTGACCCAGTTAATTGATTTTGTAAAATAAAAGATAAAATTAACAGATTGCAAAAAAAAAAAAAAAATCAATTCGGCTTGTGAACAACATCAAATAATCAAGCAGATTAGCAAAGATGATGAATACTAATATGCATAATCTTAAAACTTTAGAAAGCATCATTGACTGAAACTGGAAATAAGGAAAAGTGAATTATAAGAAATAAATAAATTACCAACCGACCTAGGGTTCTCAAAAGTTTGTGGAAGCAATTTTCTGTATTGAATCAATGATAAAATTGTGTATGGGTAAGTGACTGGACGCAGTGGGGGCTAGTGAATAGCGACTCAGCTGAGGTGTAGAATGATTGTACGACGGCCGGCAGGAGCCTGCGAATTTGATGGAGCGCTGTGGTGGCTCAACGGGGAATCTATGATGAACGGCGGCAGAGTGGGTGGTAAGATGTCGAGCAGTGGCGAGGTGAAAAAAGGAGTGAAAGCAATAACGAAAATTGAAAACAAGTTCAAAATTGTAATCGATCGACGATGGAATGGGCCAATTTCTTCCAATATATTAGGCCCAAAGTTGCAATCAAGGATTCAACGGTGGAAGTAAAATGGCCCAATGTCTTTTATTAATGGTGTCAATTAGTATTAATTAGTTAACTAATAAAGAAGAGTGAAGACATGATTTGAATGGGTTGACCAATTTTGACAATTCATTTTGCAAATTGGCAGGACCGACAATTGTGACAATACAGGTAGTCCGTAGTAGTAACTCTCAACACCAATAAATTCCCACCCACCAAATTAATACTACAAGCTTATTAAATCACAATTAATTAATACCATCGTTATTGGTTGGAAACACTTTAATTTGCATTATTTACACGTGTCCTCTAGATATACATGTCTTTTTTTTCTTTCTTTTTTTTGAATTAGCGAAACAAATTGAGAGAAATTAAACCCAAATTGATTTAAAACAGTGGTCCGCTTCGTAAGAGTGGTCTTCGTATATACATTCATGAAAACATTTAAAACAGGTAATTAATTATACTACTAGGCAAAAGAAAAGAAATAATAGTATAGTATAGTAGAAGGAGATAATTGAAATTCGATGTTCATTTAATTTGCAAAACACATAGAATATAGTACAACAATTAATAATTAATTAAGAGGCATGCATCAGAAATTAATTAATCCTAGCTAGGAATATTGTTATTATTAGCAGTGATGGACGGCAAGGCATGGTGATGATGAGGATGATAATTATGGGCGGCGGCGGTGGCGGTGGGGGACTTTGCAAAAGATTTAGTATGATGATCGGAGGGGGCGTATTTTAAGGGAGTTGGAGTGACCTGCATGAATAGATAATTGCCGGCAAATAGATCTCCGAAATGGGATTGACTCTCCTTCAATCTCTTGTACACCTTATTGAGACCAAGCTTCACCAGCCTTGCTTTTCTTCTCAGGAATCTCTTCAGGCTTGGTATTTTCAGCCTGGACTTGATTGATGATGATTTTCCAGATCTGGAACGGCGCCTACTGTTGTTAACGTGCAATCTTCTGAGCCTCGACTTTCTCAATCGCCCCATCGCCTTCTCCATAAGCCCCTTGTATTCTTCGTCTTCCTCCATAAGCCTCTCATCATCCTGTTTCTTCAGTCTCTCGTACGACACCTTGATTGAGGATGATGATGACGATGACGCCATCATTTTTTTAATTTTCCCGATATCGATCCAAGAGGCGTACTCGGAGCTCCGTTGGAACTGATTTTGTAGGCAATTATTGGTAATTATGAGGTCATGTATGTATATATCGATCAAATTCAAATTAAAGAAGAAGAAGAAGATGGTGGGATGTCATTTTCTCATACATACATACATACACAACCGGCAACTGTTGCAAATGTATGTAGCAGCATAATATAATATAGAGAGATGAGATTCAGATGCAAGTAGTTAGTAGGTTCGCTGTTTGTTGAGTGCATTCATTGCGCCAACACCTCATCACTTTCATTTCACCCACATTTAATTATATATATCCTCCGATCCACATATCATTTTTATTTTTTCCAATATTAATTAACAATTCGGGAAATCTTCAAACTTTTTACATTTAATAATATTTGAGTTCAATTCATTTTTGTTCTCGTACTGTAATTTACCCCTCTCGATCTTCTATCGCAAAAAACAACAACAAAAGGATGTACAACCAAAGAATGTGCAAAGTAATTAATTTAGTCTTCGAGCAACTTTATTAATAGAGCTTAATTCTGATCGCAATATTACTGCGACAAATTGGACATAGCGGAAGGTTTTGGCCACACTCACAGCATGTCTGTAAATGAAGGAAACCAAAATATACTCACATTATAACCATATGATACCAAAGCTAGTATACGGTTTAATAAAAAGAAATCATTAATTAATTAATTACCTGATGCCCACAACCAAAAGCCATGTTGTTTGCGTTGTTAATACAAATGGGACAGATCTGTAAAACCCACACACATATAAATGATAATCTAAAATAACGAGATATTCCAAAACACTCATTAATTGTTTGCTTATTGAAGAAACATATACATATACATATATGTGTACCTCTTGTTCATTGCTAGTGCTTGGAACAGAAGGAACTGCATTATATTGGTACAAACATTAATATGAACTTGACCATCTACTTAATTAATTATTTAATTTCAAGATGAATAAAAAGGCTTAATTACCGTAGAGAGGAGGAAGAAGAGCTACCCGATGGGGATTGTTTCCTTTCTTTTCACTGAAAAATCCGGAATGATTAATTATAATAAGTACTAGATAGATAGATAATCTATGCATGCAAATGGAAATTAATATGGTAAATCACACATATGCATGGACAGCAAACTTAATTATGATGCAAACATGCATTAATTAATTACCCTAACAAGTTAAGCTCCATTGTTGCTTTATATTGGAATGGGATTTCCATCAATGCTGAAAGAGCAAATTCTCTCTCTTTTTGAGACTGATCCACATCTTTCGACATAATCTCTGTAAAATTGACAAACTGAAGAAAAAGAATGTACCTCGTTAAAGTGAAACGAACTTACGTAAAAGAGAGGTTACATCATTATAATCTGAAAATGCATAAAAGTGACCTGGAAATTGTCAAAGGCCCGAGCAGGAATGTTGTCATCAAATTCGTTCATCATGTCCCACGGCCCATCTCCAACCCCAACCAATATAATAGATAATGGAAATTTGCTGCAAATATTTTAGAGACATCACTCTGTCTCTATCAATCAACCCATGCAGAATTTAAAAATATAACATGAAATATTTTTGTTCACAAAAAACTTGCCTAGCTTCAACAATTGCTTCAACAGTCTTCCTCTCTTGCAGACTTAACTGCCCAATTTCAGTTTCAACACTTCTTGTAACCTAAAACAATGCACACTGCTCCTTAGAAATTATACGATCAAGCCAAGAGTGTCACGAACAAGATAATATATATATATATATATATTGTATATATATAAGGTTACTTGTCCATCTGCAATAATGAGTAGAACATGATACTGTCCACCACTCTTCTCAACAATAGTCATTGCCATTTCGATTATCGGTGCAAAAGATGTTGGACCTGCAGCACAGATCGAGTACAAGAGTCGTAAGTGCATGTAACCATAAAATTATGTTAATAAACATTCCAATATAGTAAGCTCCGGATCGGAAAACAAAAAAAAAAGGTAATAGGTAATTAACCAGCCAATTTGAGATGTGGAAGAATGTCCCTATATTGGCTCAAGACATGAACAAATCCATTGGAAAACTTGTGATCGGGAGAGAAACTAAATACATCCTCGTCGTGTGTTGAGGCTGCCATTAATTGATAAAACCAATATTAATTTTTAGGTATAAGAAGGCATATTTTAGAATCAAACACAAGTTTAATAAAAATACCATCTCCAAATCCAAAACAGGGGATCAAGTTGTCTTCATCAAAAGCAGACAAAGTTTTCCCAACAATATATATTGCTTGTTCGTAGGGATTTGGACCGTTTCCAGTGTGATGTAAGCTTCGACCACCAAACGAGTTCATGCCTAGAGATATATTTGATCAGAGGATTTATTGCAGTGATTAATTAAGGAGACATGTAAATGAAGGCAAAAAGTGAACCTGTCCATTCATTGCTGGCAGTGAAATCAATTCCTACAATTAGGTTGGAAGATTCGAGTCCAGCACGTTTCAGAGCTTCCGTAACCTGAACATATGATATTCAAACCATTCGTAAAAGATAAACTAATAATAATAAATATAAAGATAGTAAAGAGATTCGGAATGAATGAAAAAGAAAAGAAAAGAAATAAATAGACATGTTAAAAGAAAATAAAGTGTATCAGAAAATGAGATGAGGAGTTGTAATTGAAAACCTCAAGTATTACTATTTCTGAATTGAGAGTAAAATTGTAAGTATTGATAGACAAAGAGAAACATATATACCTCATGTAAAGAATTATAGTTGTCGGCAATCCTTGAATACCACGTATCAAGATTCTCCTGTGGTTGATTGGATTCGGAGGACGTACTTCCATTAATGTTTTGAGAACTGGAGGAGCTTTCGTCTCCCATATCAAACCAGGCCAACCAATTTATCTAATAATAACACCACAAATATGTTCTTGCAACAAACACCACAATTATGTAATTTTCTTTCTTTCTTTCTTTCTTCTTGATTTAAGAGAGAGAGAGATAGAGAGAGAGAGAGAGATAGACGACTTTTTGGATGAATAACAAAACGACTTAGAGACCAATTCTCTAAGGTTGTGGCGGACTGGCCTGGCCTGGTATATTTATCAATAACAGCTACCTGGCCTATTTTCTCAAACATATATGCACCAAAATATTAATATTCATTTATTATTATTGACATTGTATATATATATAGTCAACGCATGGAATGGAATCTAAATATATATGCAAGGAGTTGGGCGTAATTGGCCGTCTTTCAGTCACCGACCGCATCGGGAGTTCTTACATTATTAGTTATTACACAGTGGCTTGGCTTGGCTTGGCTGTTACCATGCCTTCTTATGTACATGTCATAATTTATTTTCCTTTAATTTTCTGGCAGCTATATATATGTATGTACTCTAGCTTAGGTTTTTATTAATTCTCAGCCATTTTGGGCTTAAGCTGCTTTCTTATTATCTCTGACTATATATATATGTGAAGGAATAAATAAAAAAAAAAAAAAAAAAAAAAAAAGTCAGGGCTACAAGGAATTCTATCCAGGTTGGTGGCCGCAGCAACCACTGTTGATCATTTTTTACTAGTACTTAGGTGCAGTGCAGCTTACAATAACATATAGTAATTAATGATTATTATATTATTGGCACGAATAATAGATATATTACACCATTAATACACAAGAACAACCTGATTTCCGATGTCCGGTGAAACTAAACAAAACATTGACTCACATTTTTACAGAAAAATCAAGGCAACGAAACTGGAATCCCACTGCATTCAATTTGTCTTTAACGGTGAAAAACAATAAAAATATATACAACCAAATGATGCAAAATATTTAGTATGTATCGCTTCAAGACCGAAAAAAGCATCCAATGTATCTTACCAAGAATCTTAGATCACAACCTTTGCACCATCAAGAACCCACATTATATTTATTTAAAAAACAAAAACAGAATGATGCTAAAGTTGATAAAGGAAGCCGACGACGAGGAGCAACGTAACTTAATGGAGGTTGATTCTGGTTTTCGATTTTACTGCGACAAATTGGACATAAGCTCAAGGTCTTGGCCACACTTGCTGCATGTCTGAAAAACAAGGGAAAGAAGTACATTCATGGATCAAATTGACATAACCATATAACCATGCCATAGTACACGGTTATTAATTAAAACAAATTAATTTACCTTATGACCACAACCCAAAACCATGTCCTTTGTGTTACTTAGACAAATTTGACAGATCTGTAAAACCCATTAATGAAAATGAAAAATTAAATTTATTATAAGAAATCAACACTTGCAAATGAGGCCACAAGGAACTGCATTGGCATTAACATTGTGCTTGTAATATAAACTTAATGGAGCATAATTTAATTTGGAGATGAATAAATTAATTATTAAAAGACTTATAATTTACCTTAGGAGGGAGGAGGAAGAGATACCCGCTCGGGATGGTATCCTTTCCTTTCACTAAATAAACAGGAACAACGAATTATAAGTAGTGGATATATAATCCATGCATGCACATATGGAAATATATACGAAAAATGCACGGAGAGCAAAATTAATTATGATGGGAAGATTAATTAATTACCCTAACAAATTAAGCGCCATTGTTGCTTTATATTGGAAGGGGATTTCCATCAATGCTGCAAGAGCAAATTCTTTCTCTTTTTGAGACTGGGGAATATTTTTGGACATAATCTCCGTAAAATTGACAAACTGAAGAAAATAATACCTTGTAAAATTAGAGAGCCTGAACGAACCTACTTATCAGAAAATTAGTACATAATTTGAAGCATATATATATATGATGATGATGAAACTGACCTGGAAATTGTCAAAGTCGCGAGCAGGGATATTGTCATCAAATTCCTTCATCATGTCCCACGGGCCATCTCCAACCCCAACCAAAATAATCGATAACGGATATTTGCTGCAATATTATAGAAATGTTTCTCAATCTCTATGAACAAGACAAATATAATTTGAAATATTTATTTTATTCAGGAAAAATTAAACTTGCCTAGCTGCAACAATTGCTTCAATAGTCTTCTGCTCTTGCTCACTTAACTTGCCTTCTTCAGTATCGTCATATCTTGTAACCTAAAATAATGGAAAGTGTTGTTTAGAAATTGTACAAGAAATGAACACCTCTAAGTATGTAAATAATATATATACCTGTCCATCTGCGATAATTAGTAGAACGTGATATTGGCCTCCACTCTTCTCAACTATAGTCATTGCCATTTCAATTATCGGTCCAAAAGATGTTGGACCTGCAGCATTGACATTCAACTTTAGTACACACACACACACACACACACACACACACACACACACATATATATATATATATATATATATATATATATATATATATATATATATATATATATATCATTCCAATAGAATGTATAGTAAGCTCCCAAAATAGGGTTATATAGGTAAACATTAACCAGCCAGTTGCAGTTTTGGAACAATGTCTCTGTATTGGCTCAACACTTGCTCAAATCCTTTGCAATATTTGTTCCCGGGAGTGAAACTAAATACATCCAGGTCGTATGTTGTGCCTGCGCAATATAAACCAATATTAATTTTTGGGAAAGTATAATAATTAGACTAATAATTCAGAATTAAGAAAATGCACTAATAATAAATACCATCTCCAAATCCAAAACAGGGGATTAAGTTGTCCTCGTCAAAAGCAGCCAAGGTTTTTGCGATAATAGATATTGCTTGTTCGTATGGATTTGGACCATTTCCAATGTGATGCATGCTTAGACCCTTATTCGATCTCATGCCTAAAGATATATATATATAGTACACAAATTGTATAATTAATTAGTTACATGTAAATTATATAATGAGATGATGTAAATGTGATGCCTAGTGAAGTAAATAAAACTAGCAAGAAAGTGAACCTGTCCAGTCATTGCTATTAGTGAAATCAATCCCGACGATTAGGTTGGAAGATTCGAGACCAGCACGTTTCAGAGCGTCCGTAACCTGCACAAAATATTTTTCATAATGTCAAAATATATACTTGTAGGATTTTCTCTTGTTTTCTCTGCTCTAACTTAATTACTAGTTTTAGATTAATGATGAACAAATCTTAGGAAGCACAACAACTGAGATATAGCAGATAAGGTGAGATTAAAAAAGAAATGGAAAGACAAATAAAATATATATACCTCATCTAATGAATTGTAGTTGTCTAAGATTTTGGAATACCACTTATCAAGCTTCTTATGTGGGGTTTCATCATTTTGAGAGCTGGAGCTTTTGTCCCCCATCCTTTAAAACAAAATTCTTCTTCCTACAACAAACAAACAGCGGATACAACTTCTTCCTTTTATTTTCTTATGGCAAAACAGCTCAGAAAATAAATATGCAACAATTTACACCAAGTCTTTTTTAATTATATTAGAGAGAGGGAAGACTTCCCCAGTTACAAGTTGATGAGATGAGACCAAGTCTCCACTATTAATAATAATATTGTCTAGATGTGGTGGATTATTGGATGGCCGGTGGCGTAATGTTGATCGTCAAAGCACGTCCTAAAGAGAATAAATAGTATCATTGCCATATATATATATATTTGATCCAACCCGAACTTTGCTTTAGGCGAGGTAGGCGACTGCATCACTCCTATCATCTCTATATCGAGCAGATGTATGATGTTGCTCTTCGATCACAATCATTGCATAAACTTGATTCAAGTTTGGCAATGGATCTAAATTCAGGATGGTAGAACACACTGTCCCAAATAGTGAATCCTCGAGCCCCACCAAAAATTGATGGACTTGTGTCGTCCTCTCGTCGTGCCAACGATTGCTACGCAATCTGACATTTTCAACCACCACAATTGCATGTCAAAATAGGTTCGTAGTCATTGACCTCATCCCACACCATTTTCATCTTCCCAAATTATTCAGCAGCTGAGTCGCCTCCAACTGAGTGGCCTCTCTGTTTGCAGTTGCCCAACTCAGTCTCAATTGAATGATTTTCGGCCCATTTGCGACCCCAAATCTCAACCACAAGTCCTCTCAAAGCTCTCTAGTGAATTCCCAATAAGCAATTGTTGATCGAAACGTTGGTTCAATGGTATTAAAGAACCAAGCAGGAAGTATGGAATTAATCATCCACCAATAGTCAATTTTAGGGTCTTACTTCAGTAAGTTGAGTAACGGTTCAGTCGACGAAACTGATATCGCCTTCAATTTAGTCTTTGTGTCGCCCATAGCAGCGAATTAAAAGGAAAAAAAAAACCATCTCAAGTGTATGGCTCTGATGGCATGAGAAGAATTCCCAATAAGTGTATGGCTAAAATTGTTTTATGTGTAATGTCCATATCACATTATATCATATGTATATGCGGCTGAACCACTACAACCTTAACTCTAAACCCTCACGTAAGAAAGGAAACAACCAAAAATAAACTAAAGAGAATATGTTTCACGATATATGCAAACGCCAAACAAATCCATTTATTAAACAATTAATATAGAAGAACAACTTGATTCAAAAGCAATAAAAAGAAAATCCAATGTTCGATGCGTTGAGTTTGATTTGGCCAATCGAGTCTTTATCCGTAAAAAAACAATAAAAAGATATACAACCAAATAATGTGGAAATGATGCAAAACGCTACGTATGTAGCGCTTCAAAACAACAAATAAAAATCGAACATCCAGAACCAACATAATATTTGAAAAAGAATGATGTTGAAGGTGATAAAGGAAGTGGACAAGCAACTTAATGGAGCTTAATTCTGATCTCAACATTACCGGGACAAATTGGGCATAGCAAAGGTCTTTGCCACACTCGCTGCATGTCTGAGAAACAAGGATTTATTTTTTAATGGATTATTTAATCACATAACCGTATGATTGTGTACGTTAATAAAAAAGAAATTATTTAATTACCTGATGACCACAGCCAAAAGCCATGTCCTTTGGGTTAGCAAGTCAAATTGGACAAATCTGTAATAAGACCCAGAGACAGATAAACGGAAATGAAAAATAAAATGTATGACATAAAAGTTGTTAAACACTGGCAAAGGGCGGCTGAGTGATATTCTAAAATTAGACAGATTGTTTGTATATGCCTGCAAAAGAGATGTACGTACAGTGGCGAATCCAGGAATTTATCCGAAGGTGTCCGAAATTGAATATAGTGAAAATGATGGACTAAAAGGTAAAAGGGGTACGAGGGCAGCGCCCCTGATTTTGTTTTTTCTTATAGTATACACATAAAATATTACAAATATATAAGAATTTCCAAATTAACAAGATCATTTACTAATTTTGGGGAAAAAATAGATTTTTTTTGAGAAAAAGTTACTGAAAATGTTAAGACATGAAAAAATCATTGTCTAATGTGTAAAAATTAAATACTTGGAAATGAGGGTTTTCTTTTATAAAGTATACACATTAAAGATTACAAACATCTAGAAATGATTTTAACGAAATTATTTGTAAATTTTGGGGAGATTTTGAGAAAAAAATGCTGAAAATGTTAAAAGAGTGATGTGTAAATATTAAATACTTGTTTTGAACCATGTACCTTCTACTACAATGCATATGAAGTTCCTACCATCCAAGCTACAATTCAGTATTAAAAATCATTACATTTAACTGTATATGTAGGTAAACATATAGGGATTTTTTCAATTTATTTTTTAAATTTAGGGTGTGCAATTGCACACCCTTGGTCATGAGTGGATCCGCCACTGTGTACATACCTGGTCTTCATAACCAGTGCTTGGCACAAAAGGAACTGGCACTGGCAGAAACATTAGTGCTCCTAATATGAACTTGAGCATCTACTTAATTAATTAATTAATTAATTTCAAGATTGAGAAAAAGACTTACCACAAAAAAGGAGGAGGAAGAGCTACCCGCTCGGGATGGTATCCTTTCCTTTCTCTAAATAAACCGGAACGACGAATAATAAGTAGTGGATACATAATTAATGAGTGCACAAGGAAATATATATATAGTAACTCACAAATATGCAAGGAGAGCAAAATTAATTAATTACCCTAACAAATTAAGCTCCATTGTTGCTTTAAATTGGGAAGGAATTTCCATCAATGCTGAAAGAGCGAATTTTGCCTCTTTTTTAGACTGGTCCACATCTTTGGACATAATCTCTGTAAAATTAACAAACTAAAGAGAAGAATACCACGTTAAAGACAACCTAGTCGAAGTGAACACAGGGACAGCTATCAGAAAAGTTACATAATCTGAAGTACGAAACTTACCTGAAAATTGTCAAAGTCACGAGCAGGGACATAATCGTCATATTCCTCCATTATGTCCCACGGGCCATCTCCAACACCAACCAAAATAATCGATAACGGAAACTTGCTGCAATATTATATAAATGTTTTCTCAATATGAACAAGTCAAACTTTAAAAACATAATTCAAAGAATATGTTTCTTTTTACGAAAACTTGCCTAGCTTCAACAAGTGCTTGAACAGTCTTCCTCTCTTGCGGACTTAAATTGCCTTCTTCAGTATCATCACTTCTAGTAACCTATAAAAATGGACAAGCTTGCTTACAAATCATATGAGAAAAGAGTAAGCAGTACCTCGATCTAAGAGTGTGAACTTAAGGTATATATGCGCATTAATAATGTAATGATATAAGGTTACCTGTCCATCTGCAATAATGAGTAGCACATGATACTGTCCTCCACTCTGCTCAACAATAGTCATTGCCATTTCAATTATTGGTGCAAAAGATGTTGGACCTGTACAAGAGTCGTGAGTGTAAGCCATTAAATGTAAGTAAGCATTCCAGTATTAAGCTACAGATCGAAAAATAGGGTAATAGGTAATTAACCTGCCAGATTCAGATGTGGAAGAATGGCTCTATAATGGCTCAACACTTCCTCAAATCCTTTGCAAGGGCTGCCATCTTGAGATAAACTAAATATATCCTGGTCGTGGGTTGAGGCTGCCAATTAGATAAACCAATATTTAAATGCTGGGCAAGTATAAGACAAAATTCGGAATAAAATACTGAGTTTATCATGAACTAAAGTTTACCATCTCCGAATCCATAACATGGGATCAAGTTGTCTTCATCAAAAGCCGCTAAAGTTTCGCCTATAATAGATATTGCTTGTTCGTAGGGATTCAGACCATTTCCAGTGTGATGCAAGCTTTGACCACCATACGACTTCTCCCCTAAACATATACGAGACCAAGTTCAGGAGGCTATTGTCCACAATTTGTATTAGTGCTTAATTACATTTCTTAATCTACTGATCTAAATGAGGAAGAAAGTCAAACCTCTCCATTCATTGCTCTTAGTGAAATCAATTCCCACAATTAGGTTGGAAGATTCGAGACCAGCACGTTTCAGAGATTCAGCAACCTGAACAAAATATTCTTCATATTCAAACCATTTGCAAATATACATGTGTGTGTGTGTGTGTGTACTTAAAGAAATGGAGAATTGCAATAAAAATAATTAAGTTTATAAATGTTGAAAGATCATAAACTGTATCAATTCATCAAACAGAAAATTCGAGGTATCTAAATTTATACCTCATGTATTGAATTATAGTTGTCTGGAATCCTTGAATACCACCTATCAAGCTGCTTCTCTGGTTGATGTCTTGGAGACGAAGGCCTGCTATTTTGTGGAGGATCGGATGATGTAGTTTCATTGTTTTGAGGAGGCTCAGATTGAATTTCATTATTTTTTTGAGGATTGGATGAACTTTCATTATTGTTTTGAGGAAGATCGGATGGTTTTCCATTATTGTTTTTAGGAGGATCAGATGGTTTTCCATTCGTTTTAGGAGGATTGGATGTTTTTCCCTTATTTGCATCGTTGGACGGTTGATTTCCCATCAAGGCAGTTGTTCGCCAAACAAGCCCTGTAATTTTCTTACAACACCACAGCTTCGTTTTCACCTACACCACAGAACCTTTTTGTAAGAAATTCAATTAATGAAAGTGTGAATTAAACAGCTATTAAAGAGAAAGACAGCTTCCCCGATTAGAAAAGGACTTACATGTAGCGGTTGACTTCACCCAACACCCCTTCAGACCAAGTCTATATATTCTCTCAAACAGCGTAAACACCAAAATAATGATTCTTTTTTAGATATATATAATAAACAAAAGCAACAGATGGAATCTAAGCAAGATGCATACAAAGTCATCTTCTTTCAAGCACCAACCTGATCGGTACAGATCTTTCATTACAGAGTGTTATGCTTGTACTTTTGACTTTTCATTGTTCACGTTTTTGGGAGTCCTTATACTCGTTCCACCTCAAGTTTTGAGGGGGGCTCAATTGTTGATTATCCTCTCCTCAGATTAGTGCTTTCTTCCCTGGTTATCCCCTGTTTTTTATTATTATTTTTTTCAGTACCTGCTGCTTGATATTCTTTACAGTTTCCTCTTTTGGCTGGTGCAATTTTTATGAGATTTCAAAACCATATAACATACCTGAAATTGGACGCGGGTGATAACTGATAGCCAATAGCAGCTAAGAGTGACAATAAATCCGTAGACATATATGCCTCCTCTAATGAATTATATCAAATTAAATTCACAAGGTACAGTTGCATTACTTCGACTAGACTTTAATCACTATTGTCTTGGTGAATGTGATTAAACCATAACAATTTTAAAAAAAAATGAGATATATGTCTGCAGCACCAAACAAATTAATCCATATATTACACCATTAATACACAAAAACAACCTGATTTTCGATGTTCTGCGAAACTATATCGAAAGATGACTCACATTTCCAATAATATAAATGCAAAAGCAACTCCAATATTATAGAGGAAACGCTACACTCTCGTTTGTGTTTCATTTCCTTAAACTAAACAACCAGAACAATGAATAATATAAGCAGATAAATTAATGCACATGGAAATTAATATAGTAACTCACACATATGCAAGGAGAGCTTTATGATGCCAAGATAAAACCTATTAAATTTCCTCTGCCATTAGCATATCAATCTCACTATCAAGCTTCTTCTCTGGTTGATCGGACTCCGACGTACGTCCATTATTTTGAATACTGGAACTTTAGTCTCCCATCAAAGCAGTCTATCTAATAAGATTTTTTTCTTTTTTTTTTTTTTTCTCCACAACACAGAAAATTTGCAAAACCTCAACAACACCAATTATCCAACCAAAAATTCCAATCCACTTACAAGGGAACGAGTACGAATTCCTCAATTAAAAAACGACTTTCAAGTTGCGACATGGTTTTTGCCCCAATGTTCTTTAGTCAAAACCAGCATCCCCATGAGCAGATCGAGTGCAGAGTATCTAATACCCTCTTGCAAAGAAATATAAAGTCAATGCAGTTTGATTATAAATAATCTAAAGTTGTAGGACCAAATTGCAGTTTTAAAAATTCTTAAAAAAAAACCTAATTTACATAAAATCCTCAATTCTCCCCCCCTTCCTTCACCAGCTCCATCTTCATGCTCCTCCAAATAATCGTAGCCGGAGAACTACAACAACCACCACACCAGCAACACCACCGCCACCAACAGAAAACAACACCACAGGGCAGCCAACAGAGGCTAGTACAGAGCCCTTACCGAATCAGATCTGAAGAGCCACGAGGAAGCCCGAAGGACGAAGTACTCCGGCGAAAAACACTGGCAGCGGAGGGAACGAGCAAATGACATCAAATCAGAGGAAGTGAGAAATGGAGAGCTCGCCGGCGGAATCCACGCTCAGGCTCACGTCGGAGAACGAAAGCTTTGGATGTTATTGGAGAAATCGGATTTCGACCGACCACATTGTCAGGTTGTGTTTAATTTTATTGTCAGCCACTTTTGGGGTTTAGCTTTTATTTCTCACCATCAATCCCTAAGAACTAATATTATTAAAAAGAAAAAGAAAAAGAAAAACAATAATCTTCGTCTTCATCGGTGAAAAACAAAACAATTAATAAGATACTCCACACAACAACCAATTATATCACCTTTGCACATGAAGAATCAACATTATTATATTATGTTATATTATATTTATTTAAAAAATAAAAACAGAATGATGCATGCTGAAGTTGATAAAGGAAGCTGACGACGAGGATCGGAGCAACGTAACTTAATGGAGGTTGATTCTGGTTTCGATTTTACCGCGACAAATTGGTGGTGAACATAGCTCAAGATCTTGGCCACACTTGCTGCATGTCTGTACGTAAAACAAGGAAAAGAAGTACATTATCCTTTGTGTTACTAGCTAAGACAAATTTGACAGATCTGTAAAATCCATTAATGAAAATGAAAAATTAAATTTATTATAAGAAAGCAACACTTGCAAGTGAGGCCACAAGGAACTGCATTATATTGGCATTAACACTGTGCTCGTAATATAAACTTAATTTGGAGATGAATAATAAATTAATTATTAAAAGGCTTATATAATTTACCTTAGACGGGAGGAGGAAGAGCTACCCGCTCGGGATGTTTTCCTCTCCTTTCACTAAATAAACCGGAGCAACCAATTATATATATAATAATCCATGATGCATGCACATATGGAAATATATATATATATACGAAAAATTAATTACCCTAACAAATTAAGCTCCATTGTTGCTTTAAATTGGATGGGGATTTCCATCAATGCTGCAAGAGCAAATTCTGCCTCTTTTCGAGAATTATCCACATCTTTGGACATAATCTCAGTAAAATTGACAAACTGAAGAAAAGATAATATATATATATATATACCTCGGTTGAATTAGAGAACCCTAGTCGTCGATATCATATCATATCTGAAAGTGCATATATATAAAAGACTGACCTGGAAATTGTCAAAGTCGCGAGCAGGGATATTGTCGTCGAATTCCCTCATCTTGTCCCACGGCCCATCTCCAACACCAACCAAGATAATCGATAACGGAAACTTGCTGCTGATATTAATATATATAGGAACATGCAATTACGTACTCTCTATCAACGTAACATGAAAACAATTAAGTTTACAAAATAATTAATAGAATTTTGGAAAAATTCTTGCCTAGCTTCAACAATTGCTTGAACAGTCTTCTCCTCCTGCAGACTTAACTTGCCCACTGCAGTATCAGCACTTCTTGAAACCTAAAATAATATAATGATGCTTAAATATTATACAAACCAATTAAGCTATTAATTATATTATAAGCCAATTGATCGATCGAAGATCACCTAATTATAATTAGTTAAGGGGGAAATGAATTAATACCATACGTACCTGCCCATCTGCAATAATGAGTAGAACATGATACTGTCCACCACTCTTCTCAACTATAGTCATTGCCATTTCAATTATCGGTGCAAAAGACGTCTCACCTGCACCACACATCATATATGTATAATTAGTGCATCTAACCTTAATTATTAATATGCATTCCAATATAATATAGTTATCAATATAATGAAGCTCCGGAGAATTAATTACTAACCATATAGTCTCAGTTTTGGAACAATGTTTCTATATTGGCTCAAAACTTGCTCAAATCCTTCACAATATTTGTTATCAGGAGAGAAACTAAATACATCCCGGTCGCACGTTGTGACTGCCAATTAGATGAGCAAATTAATACTAATTATAATTACAAGTCAAATTTCAGAATCAAAATTTATTTATATTTTATATACATAAATACCATCTCCAAATCCGAAACAGGGGATCAAGTTGTCTTCATCAAAAGCAGACAAAGTTTTCCCAACAATAGATATTGCTTGTTCGTACGGATTTGGACCGTCTCCAGTGTGATGTAAGCTTCGACCACCATACGACCTCTTGCCTAAACATAATTGATCAATATAATTCATTGTTGTTAATGAGAATATGTAAATGTGATGCCTACATAATACTGATGTAAATTAAAATGACCAAGAAACTGAACCTGTCCATGTATTGCTATAAGTGAAATCAATCCCCACAATTAGGTTGGAAGATTCGAGACCAGCACGTTTCAGAGCGTCCGTAACCTGAACAAAATATTTAAACCATACATACATAATTAAATCAACAAATTAATTAAAAGATTCTAATTAAGCAATTAAGCTGGCCCCCCGGATTATAGAATATATATATATATACATACCTCCTGTAATGAATTATAGTTGTCTCCAATCCTTGAATACCACTTATCTCCCATCTAATTAAGAACTTGTATTAATTTGCAAAAAGCAAACGTACAGGGGATACAACTTATAATTTTGTTCTCTGCAGCACATAAAAGATATATGCAAGAAAACCTAATTAAACAACAACACCAAGGCCAAGTCCATTTCTTCTATTAATTATATATTAATAGAGAGATGGAGACAGACGACTTTTCCCCAACTATATATATTAATTAATATTCTGTTGCGTTGTTGGCCATTGGGGGTTGAGAATTGAGATGAGACCAACTCTCTACTATTAATATATATTCTCAAACTAAACGTAGTAGTGGCGTCGTGCTTTAATATTATTTTTCTCTCAAACACCAAAATATTATTCGGTGCACTTGTTTCATTACAGACTCTTACGAGTACGTTTGGGTTGTAATTGGCTACAAATTACATCTCTCTCTCTCTCTCTCTCTCTCTCTCTCTATCTCTGTGTGTGTGTGTGTGTGTGTGTGTGTGTGTGTGTTTGGGTGGCAGTGGCACAATATTTAGGTAGATGCCATTAATTATTTTGTGATGAAAATTTCATGCTAGTGTATCATGTACGTAAAATATACCTTTTACTTTTTAATGCAAAGTTACACTTGTATATTATCGAGTATCGACACAAGAAAGATTAGTGAGATTAATAGCCACCTAATTAATTATCCGCCAGAAAATGATATGCTACCTTAGAAGAACTTGAATACCATAATTTAATACCACATTAACATCTTTAGGGGCCGAAAAGAAAGTTTTTTATATAAATATAAATTTGACTTTACATCGTATATCCTTATTTGGACAAACATAAATGATAAAACAACCCATTAATTAATACACAAAAACAACCCCATTTTCGATGTTCTGCCAAACAATATCAAAAGATATAGTAGATATGACTCACACTTACAATAATATCAATCCAATCCCCACTGCCTTCAGTTTGAGTTCACCAATAATTAATTAATTCCTCAAAAACAATAAAAGAAAATACACAACCAAATTAATTGGGACAAATCCGTATGGATCCCTTCAAAGTTCAAAACCAATAACTTAATGGAGCTTAATTCTGATCTCAACATCACCGCGACAAATTGGGCATGCTGTAAGCTCTTGGCCGCACTCACTGCATGTCTGAGAAACAAGATTTTTTTTTCTTTTCTTAATGGACTATTTAATCACATAACCGTATGACTGTTTACGTTAATAAAAAAGAAATTATTTAATTACCTGATGGCCACAACCAAAAGCCATGTCATTTGGGTTAGCAATGCAAATTGGACAAATCTGTAATAAGAACCAGAGACAGATAAACGAAAAATGAAAAATAAAAGATATGACATAAAAGTTGTTAAACACATGCAAATAAAGAGATGTAGGTACCTGGTGTTCATAACTAGTGCTTGGAGCAGAAGGAACTGCATTGCCAAGTGATAGTTATGAACTTGATCATCTACATAAATAATTAATTTAATTTCAAGATTAAGAAAAAAACTTACCACAGAAAGGACGAGGAAGAGCTACCCGATCGGGATGGTATCCTTTCCTTTCTCTAAATAACCAGAACAACGAATAATGAGTAGTGGATATATAATCAATGCATGCACGCACATGGAAATATATATATATACTAACTCACACATATGCAAGGAGAGCAAAATTAATTAATTACCCTAACAAATTAAGCTCCATGGTTGCTTTATATTGGAAGGGGATTTCCATCAATGCTGAAAGAGCAAATTTTGCCTCTTTTTTTGACGGTTCCACATCTTTGGACATAATCTCTGTAAAATTGACAAACTAAAGAAAATAATACCTCATTAAAGACAACCCAGTCGAAGTGAAAACAGGGCCAGTTATCAGAAAAGTTACATAATCTGAAGCACGAAACTTACCTGAAAATTGTCAAAGTCACGAGCAGGGATATAATCGTCATATTCCTTCATCATGTCCCACGGGCCATCTCCAACACCAACCAAAATAATCGATAACGGAAACTTGCTGCAATATTACAGAAATGTTTTCTCAATATGAACAAGGCAAACTTTACAAACATAATTCAAGAATATGTTTCTTTTTACGAAAACTTCTTGCCTAGCATCAACAAGTGCTTGAACAGTCTTCCTCTCTTGCGGACTTAACTTGCCTCCTTCAGTATCTTCACTTCCAGTAACCTATAAAAATGGACAAGCTTGCTTACAAATCATATAAGAAAAGAGCAAGCAGTACCTCAAACTTAAGGTATATATGCGCATTAATAATGTAATGATATAAGGTTACCTGTCCATCTGCAATAATGAGTAGGACATGATACAGTCCTCCACTCTTCTCAACAATAGTCATTGCCATTTCAATTATCGGTGCGAAAGATGTTGGACCTGCACAAGAGTACTAGTAAGTGTAAGCCATAAAATAATGTTTATAAGCATTCCAACATATAGTAAGCTTCAGAAAGTAGGGTGATATAAGTAATTAACCTGCCAGTTTCAGATGTGGAAGAATGAATCTATATTGGCTCAAGACTTCCTCAAATCCATTGCAAGGTGCGCCATTTTGAGATAAACTAAATATATCCTGGTCGTGGGTTGAGGCTGCCAATTAGATAAACCAATATTTAAATTTTGGGCAAGTATAAGACAAAATTCGGAATAAACTACTGAGTTCACCATGAACTAAAGTTTACCATCTCCAAATCCATAACATGGGATCAAGTTGTCTTCATCAAAAGCCGCTAAAGTTTTCCCTATAATAGATATTGCTTGTTCGTAGGGATTCTGACCATTTCCAGTGTGGTGTAAGCTTTGACCACCATACGACTTCTCCCCTAAACATATACAAGACCAAGTTCAGGAGGCTATTGTCCACAATTTGTATTAGTGCTTAATTACATTTCTTAATCTACTGATCTAAATGAGGAAGAGAGTGAACCTGTCCATTCATTGCTCTTAGTGAAATCAATTCCCACAATTAGGTTGGAAGATTCCAGACCAGCACGTTTTAGAGCTTCAGTAACCTGAGCAAAATATTCTTTATTCAAACCATTTTCACAAAAAAAAAAAACAAATACTTAAGAAATAGAAAATTTCAATTTAAGAATAAGTTTATAAATGTTAAAAGAACAAAAACTGTATCAATTCATCAAACAGAAAAATTGAGATATCTAAATTGATAGAAAGTGATGCAAAAACATTAGAATAATTTGAACCCAGCTGATAACTGATAGCAGCTGAAAAAGTGGTGATAATTTGGCAACATGACAATAAATCCATAGACATATATATATATATATATATATATATATATATATATATATGTGTGTGTGTGTGTGTGTGTGTGTGTGTGTGTGTGTGTGTACCTCATATAATGAATTATAGTGGTCTCCAATCCTTGAATACCACATATTACCAAGCTTCTTCTCTGGTTCATGAATTGGAGGAGAAGGCCTGCTATTTTGAGGAGGATCAGATGATGGACTTTCAGTGTTTGGAGGAGGATTGGATGATGTACTTCCGTTTTTTGGAGGAGGATCGGATGTTCTTCCATTCTTTTTAGGATTAATGGATGCTTTTCCCTTATTCCTATCATTGGAGTGCTCATTTCCCATCAAGTCAGTTGTTCTTCAAACAAGCACTGATTTTTTCTTACAACAGCACAGCTTTGTTTTCCCTGCACCTCGGCAAAATCTGCAAAAACCTTTACGGAAGATCCAACAAAATTCCAATCCTTTTATATAAGAAAATTCAATGACGTGTGAATTAAACAGCTATTAAAGAGAAAGAAAGCTTCCCCGATTACAAAAAGACTTACAACTACAAGTTGTAATAAGCAGCGGTTGACTTCAACCAACACCCCTTCAGACCAAGTCTATATGTTCTCTCAAACGCGCCAAAAAATGATTATTTTTGAGATATATATAATCAACGAAAGCAACAGATGGAATCGAAGCAACATCCATACAATGTCGTCTTCTTTCAAGCACTAACCTGATTGGTAGAGATCTTTCATTACAGAGTGTTATGCTGAGTTTTGACTTTTCATTGTTCACGTTTTTGGGAGTCCTTATATTGTTCCACCTCAAGTTTTGAGGGGGGCTCGATTGTGGATTATCCTCTCTGATCCTTAGATTAGTGCTTTCTTCTTCTCTGGTTATCCTGTGTTGCTTATTATTCTTCTTCAGTACCTGCTGTTTGTTATTCTTTACAATTTCCTCTTTTGGCTGGCTACCCATAAAGGTTGTTTTTGTTTTTTATTCTCTGTGCGCTAAGCCAGTTCTGGAGTTTAGCTTATGTCCGACTATATTGCTAAAAAACAGTCAGATGAATGATAGCCGTAGTAAAAAACACTCTCTTTCACCCTCAACGGTGCTCAGCAAAATAACTGAAAACCCAGTTACCCAAATAAATAGCATTGCGTAAAAAATAAGATCGGTAGGAAGTAGCAGACAAACCTAGGTGCAACATACAAACACTGTATGACTATTCTTTTTAACCATCATAACTAACCATTTTATACCTAATCCAACATAATGCATGAAATCCACAATGTACAGTTGCAAACACCAAACAAATTCATATATTACATCATTGATAAACAACAACAACCTGATTTTCCAAGTACTGCGAAATTAAATCAAAAGATGACTCACTTACAAAAAAATCAAGGCAATGAAACTCCTATCCGCACTATGTTTAGTTTGATTTCACCAATCTTTTCTATATAGGCCAAAAACAATACAAAGATATACCAACTAAATAGTGATGCAAAATGCTTCGTATGTACTGCGTCAAGACCAAAAAGGGCATCCGAGCGATCACCTTTGTACATCCGGAACGAAAATAAAGAATTTGATGTTGAAGTTAATATGAAGGAAGCAAACGAGCAATCTAATAGAGCTTTATTCTGGTCTCGATTCTACTGCGACAAATTGGACATAGTTGAAGGTCTTGGCCACACTCACAGCATGTCTGACAAAGTAGGAAAATAATATTTACGGATCTACTTAACATAACCATCTGATAGTATGTCAATAAAAAGAAATTTACCTGATGACCACAACCAAAAGCCATGTCCTTTGGGTTACTAAGGCAAATGGGACAAATCTGTAAAACCCAGAGACAGATAAATGTAAATTAAAATAAAATATATGATAAGAAAGTAACACTTGCAGAGGGCTGAGTGATATTCGAAAAGACACATTGTTTGTTACTATAAGCTTATTTTGCAAATAAACACTGTACCTGGTGTTCATAAGTAGAGCTTGGAGCAGTAGGAGCTGCACTAGCAGAAACATTTTGCTCGTACTTTGAACTTGAGCTAGGCTGAAAACTGGTGGCACGTGAAGGTTTTGAACCCGAGGAAAAAGCCATGCTATAGATTGGAGGAGGAAGAGCAATCCGCTCGGAAGTGTTTCCTCTCTGTCGACTAAATCAACAAAATGGTGCAAAATAAATAAATAAATAATTCATGCACTTGAAGGTACAGTCAGTAACTAAAAGAAAGATTGTTATGCGCAGAGAGGAGAGGCAATCACACCCCAGACAAACACACACAAATGCAATGAGAGTAGAGTACAGCGAAGATTACCCTAACAAATTAAGCTCCATTGTTGCTTTATATTGGGATGGAATCTCCATCAATGCTGAAAGTGCAAATTCTGTCTCTTTTCGAGACTGGTGCGCATTTTTGGACATAATCTCCGTAAAATTGACAAACTGAAGAAAGGAATACCTCATTAAAGACAATCTGGTCGAACTGAAAGAATCTACTTATCAGAAAAGTAGTACATAATCTGAAAGTGCAAGAAAATGACCTGGAAATTGTCAAAGTCCCGAGCAGGGATGTTGTCGTCAAATTCCCTCATCATGTCCCACGGGCCATCTCCAACCCCAACCAAAATAATCGATAACGGAAACTTACTGCTAATATTAAAGGAACATCACTTTATGAATACGCAAAGTGTACAAATATAATTCGAAATATGTTTTCGAAAACTTGCCTAGCTTCAACAATTGCTTCAACAGTCTTCCTCTCTTGCGGACTTAACTGGCCGTTTTCAGTATCAACACTTCTTGTAACCTACAACAATGGACATTAATGTTTCTTAGAAATTATACGAGCAAGGCAAGAGTGTGAACAAGGTATGTATATACATATATATATATATATATATATATATATATATATATATATATATATATATATATATATATATATATATATATATATATATATATATATATATATATATATATATATATATATATAATGAGCAAGACATGATACTGTCCTCCACTCTGCTCAACAATAGTCATTGCCATTTCAATTATCGGTGCAAAAGATGTTGGACCTGTAGCAGAGTCATAAGTGTAAGCCATAAATTTAATAAGCATTCCGTAGTAGTAGGCTCCGGAAAATAGGGTAATAGGTAATTCACCTGCCAGTTTCAGATTTGGAACAATCTCTCTATATTGGCTTAAGACTTCTTCAAATCCGTTGCTAAATCTGTCATCGGAATTGAAACTAAATACATTCTGGTCATGAGTTGAGGCTGCGAAGATAAACGGATATTAATATTTTGGGCAAGTACACAACAAATTTCAGAATCACACACACAAGTTTATGGTGCACTACCATCTCCAAATCCAAAACAGGGGATCAAGTTGTCATCATCAAAAGCCGCCAAGGTTTTCCCTATAATAGATATAGCTTGTTCGTACGGATTGAGACCATTTCCAATATGATGTAAGCTTCGACCGTTATACGACCTCTTGCCTAAAGATGGGACCAAGTTCAGGATATTGTCCATAAGTCTTAATACTTGATTAGAAATCTACATGAGGAAGAAATTGAACCTGTCCATTCATTGCTCTTGGTAAAATCAATCCCCACAATTAGGTTGGAAGATTCGAGACCAGCATGTTTCAGAGCTTCAGTAACCTACACAATAATATTCTTCACAGTCATTCCATTTGTAAAAATACAAAATACTCAAGAGATTCAGAACCAGATAATTTGTAACTTCCGATGAGATTCAATTATTTGTTACGGCAATAAGAATTTAGACAATACAACGCAAATTTAGACACTGACAACTGATAGCAGCTAAAAATAGTTGTGATAGTTTGGCGAGATGACAATAAATTGATAGACGCACCTCATGTAATGAATTATAGTTGTCGGCAATCCTTGAATACCTCCTGTCAAGCTTCTTCTTTTGTGGTACATGTTGTTGAGACGAAGGCCCGGTATTTTGGGGAGGATGGGATGGAGTTTCATAACTTTGAGGAGGATAGTACTGATTCTGTGGTGGATATCCAGCTGGATAAGGATTCTGAACGGGGTAGTTTTGAGAATATTGTGAGTACGATGATTGACCGTATTCGTGCTGCCACCCAGATGGAGATGGGGATGGAGATGCAGATGGAGACTGAGCCATTGAAGATTGCCTCCAACTTCCCCCATCCTTAGGGCTAGAGCTTTTGTTTCCCATCAAACCAGTTTATCTAACAACCCCTTTAAATTTTATAACAACAAGCACACCAAATTTGTAAAACCTGAACAAAATTCACCTGTCTCAAAAAAGCATAACCCAAATACTTGGCTGAAGAACAATATTTGCCTAATTTTGCAGATAGATTACGTAATAAAATGTTATATGTATTGCCGTGAGAAGAAGATTCAATGACGTGTTAAATTAAGCAGCAGCTATTAAGAAACGACTTACAGGTTACAAGTTACAAGCGGCGCGCCGACTTCACACAAACCCCTTGAGACCAAGTCTATCTTCTTTCTTTTTACCCCCAAATAAATACCTAGTCCTGTAATTTGTCGGTAATAATAAACACACACGCATAAAAAGTGCAGAATTGAAGCTTGGATTTTCAGGAAGAAAGAAAAAAATTACAGCTCCTTCACTGCTCAGCATAAATAATGGAAAGCAAAATTACCCAAATCAACAGCATTGGTTAAGAATTAAGATCGGTATTAGAAAAACATGAATGCAACATCCATAATCTGTGCAAGATCTTCTATTTTCCAGAAGTTGTTGCAGGATTCTAGAAAGCACTGTATCTGTATGAAAAGGGAGTCAACTTTTTCCTGGAAAGTCTCTTCTGTTTAACAACTGACTGAAGTTTCCTTTCTTTAACAATTTCAGATTTTATTCAGCAAAATTGTTTCTTTCATCTTAATTTCCATTAATTCATTTTAGTAGTCAAATGACAATTAACAGCTTATTCCACTCTCAGAAAACGTTGATTGTTGAAATCTCTTTTTGTCAAATTTTAACACTGTGAAATGAAAAAAGTCAACGCTCTTAATACAATGAATTCAACGGTAAATTCTATATCATAATTTGGCCCATTAATAAATGGGCTATAAAATGATTTGTGATGGACCAAAATTCGCACCATTAAGGCCCCTTTTTTATTCATTATCCTCAGATCTACTTATTCAACAGCTATCCACGAGCTCGCCGACTACTACTTATTATTCTTACTTCTTACACGATATGTTATGTATTAATGGACTTTTGTACGTGCGAGTTAAGTCTCTTGTTAACACCCGTTCCGTCCAACTTGGTACTTATCATTCCTTAGGTCTTGACTCGATGGACTTAGCTTCTATTCCTTATTGGGCCCAATGACCTTGAGTATGGGGAGTTCGGTCCAACAGTGGCGGACCGATCGCCATCAATGTGGATTAGCAAAGATTTGCGGCTGAATCTCGAAGCAACATAACATGGTGATTGACGACCATAATAAGCTAGATTTATTATAGTGCCGGATGACAAATCAAGGAAATTCTTCAAGGAAAAAATGTGTGTGAAGAAAGAATGGGTATTTATTTTAGGGTAAACTTCAATTTACCTACCTGAACTATACCCAAGGTATAAAATACCCCCCTGAACTTCAAAATGAACCAAAACAACCCCTCCGTTAAATATCCATCCACAATTGCTGATGTGGAGTGTTGACTTTTTTGAATTATTACTTTTATTCCAGCTGTTTTATTGTTTTGACAAATGTACCCTCTGCTCAATATATTTGTTTACAAGTAAATTGTAAAAGATAATAAAGGCCAAATTGCAATTTATGTTAAATTTCGGAATAAATCAAGGACTTAATTGCAATTTCCTAAAAAAAATCCAGGACTACCACCGTCACCTCTATACACCTTCCTCCCTAGTTGGAAAAAAAAGAAAATTCCTCAGTTCATTGTCCGGCCACCAAAATGCACGACGTCCCAGTCATCAATTTCAAATCTATTTTGAGAAATTTTAAACTCAGAGAAAATTGATTTTCACAGAGGAAATCGAAGAAGAGGAAACTCCGTCGTGTGCAGCCCGATGATGAAGCTGATCGGAAGAAACTCCGCCGCGTCGCCGCCGCCTCATTCTTGCTTAGCCGCCACCGCCGTCTCCGCCATCGTCTTCGCCGCCCCATTTCACAGTCCAGGTCGCCGTCGTCTCGTTCCACGGCCCATGTCACTTGCGGTTACTGTATGGACTTTTGAAGCAAAACTCGAGATTTAATTCGAGTGGTGAAGTGGCAGACCGAGAAGAATTGATTTGGTGGATTGTGTGGGTAGAATAGAAGGTTATGAGATTCTTGGTTACTTCTTGGATGGATTATGAAGTTATTAGCCAATTGAAGAAAAAAAAATCTGGGGATTCCTAATTTGAAGAAGAACAAATTTGAAGGTTTTGAGATTTTTAATTTGAGAACGAAATTTCTGGGTTTGTGTTACAAAATTTCAGCAGGAAAAGAAAAAAAAGAAACGAAAGAGAAGAAGAAAGAAACGGAAGAAGAAGAAAGAAACAGAAGAAGAAGAAAAGATTGGAGGGCAAAAAAGTAAAACCACTTAAAAACTAACGGTGTTACTTTTTTTAACGGTTTTAAACGTTGACCCAGAATCTGCAAGGGCTGTTTTGATTCATTTTGAAGTTTAGAGGGGTATTTTATACCTTGGGTATAGTTCAGGTAGGTAAATTGAAGTTTACCCTTTATTTTATAAATTGATACATGCAAAAGTTTATGAAAAAAGTACATATTATATATATATATTTTTTTTGTTTAAATAATTGGTTATTTCTCAAGGTTGGAAGTGTTTGGAAAAAAAATAAGTAGGCAATTCATAAGTTGATGTTTAAATATGTATATAGAGAGAAGAGGTGAATTGGGCTTGATTTGGAGCATTTGACATGAATTAGGTAAAAGGTGGAGATGCACAAAATACAAACCACATGAGCTACCTTTCTCCAAAAAAAGGAAAAGGAAAATGACATTTTATTCATGTTAGCTGTACCACACGAATCGCATCTCCATCCAGTTTATGTTTATTCACACACAACACAATTAAATATTTGTTTCTTCCTAAATAAATAACAATAATTTGTTTAGTACTTTAGATCCATAATATATTTTTTTAACCGGCTTGGACTATGAGAAAATTACTACTATCTCCTCCATATTTTATATTGAAAATATGACATCCAATATTCATTTTATATTTTGGGTATATATTTATTTTTGTTCGAAAAAAAAAATAAAGACCCCAAAACAAAACATAATAAAATATTGGGACACAAGTGGATGAATTGGATAAACAAAATCCACCATGTCTGCCTCAAAAGACTATACTACCCACACTCCACTTGCACCTAACCAATTATAACTTTTCCTTTTCTGGAAAATTAATTTAATGCTGCAAGAAAATAACAAATCTATACGTAATTATTTACAATACCTAAATTATGTTATATCGATTGTGTCGATTATGTTAAAAAAAAAAAAAAGAAATTGGTAGACATATTAAGAAATCATTAAAAATCGGTTGAATATTAGAATAGAGTATTAATTAATACACATGCTAATGTTAGTGTGGGGGGCGGGGGAGGGGGCAGGGGCACAATGAGAAAAAAGGCTCAAAAAACAAAACACAGATAGACAGAGTGTAAGCAGCAAAGCACAAATAACGGCGGCGTTCAACGCCGTCGTCATAGTATATATACTCCGTTTTCAACGGTCCGACTTCCGTTTTCAACCACATTTTATTCTCCCCATACATAGGAAAACAACCACGCATTTACATACAAAATCCCCAGAAAACAAATATAGCAGATTGAATTCACTTCACTTCTTTTATGGTTGCTTGCTTCTTCCGGCAGCTATGGTGGATTAGGGTTTTACCTTCTTAATTAACCTCAGCTTAACCCAGATTCTGTTTTTCATTTTTTTCATTTTCAATTTATTTGTAAAGGGTCAAAAAAAGAATGAAGCTAAAGAGTGAGACTGTTCGCTCGGCAAGGCTGCTGAAGTATGTGTTCATGGGGTTATTAGTGTTTCTGGGATTTGTTTGTTTGTACAATAGCTTGCTGTTTTCCACTGGTTTGCCACGTGGCGACGAATCATTTGAGGACGGCGTTGACCCCGTTACCGGCAGATTTGTTGCCAAAAAGGATTTTGATGAACTGTTTGTTGACGACGAAGAGCACAATCCTGATATTCCGAAAAGAATTCCGGTAAGTAATATCGTTTCGATAAATTACAGAGTGCGAATATCAGCATTCAATCATATGTAACATTGTACCAAACAAACCATTTTAATGTTCGAGTTATCAGTTCATGATGCTTTTAACGGGAGCTTCATTTTGTTTAGGTTTGTGATTTGAGATATTCGGAGTTGATTCCGTGTTTGGATAGGCATTTAATATACCAAATGAAACTTAAGCTCAATTTGACCTTAATGGAGCACTATGAAAGGCATTGCCCGCTTCCAGAGCGCCGCTTCAATTGCCTTATCCCTGCTCCCATTGGCTACAAGGTTTGTTCTTTTTTATCTAGAACACAAGATTGTCCTTTGATGGACCCTGTTTGTAGCGATGCAACTGATATTTGTGATATAATTATGCCATTATCTTTATCCGTTTTGATTCCTTTGGCATTTGCTGTTAGAAGTCCAGATCCCAATTAGATGGCCTGCGAGTCGTGACCAAGTCTGGAAGTCAAATATACCCCACACACATCTCGCACGGGAGAAATCGGATCAGAATTGGATGATTGTGGATGGGGAGAAGATTAAGTTTCCAGGTGGTGGAACTCATTTTCATAACGGAGCTGACAAATACATTGTAGCTATCGCAGGGGTACGCTCATGTATAGCCTAGCCAATCTTGAAATATTTTTCATGTGGCTCTATTGCTAATTTTTCTATTAATTATTTGTGTAGATGCTTAAGTTTCCTGGTGAAAGACTCGATCACGGTGGCCATATTCGAAGTGTTCTTGACATTGGTTGTGGAGTTGCGAGTTTTGGAGCATATCTTCTCCCGCTTAACATCGTAACCATGTCATTGGCTCCTAATGATGTTCATGAGAATCAAATACAGTTTGCACTGGAGAGGGGTATACCAGCTACTTTAGGTGTTTTAGGGACAAGAAGACTACCATATCCGAGTAGGTCTTTTGAATTGGCTCATTGTTCTCGTTGCCGAATTGATTGGCTTCAGAGAGATGGCATTCTTTTGTTGGAATTGGACAGATTGTTGAGACCAGGTGGGTACTTTGTCTATTCATCGCCAGAAGCGTATTTACATGATGTTGAAAATCGAAGAATTTGGGATTCTATGTATGACCTTTTGAGACGAATGTGCTGGAGAGTTGTTGCTAGGAGAGATCAAACGGTGGTGTGGGCTAAGCCGTTAAGTAATAGTTGCTACATGAAACGAACTCTCGGAACTCTCCCACTTTTGTGTAGCTCCGATGATGATCCAGATGCAACGTGGAATGTACTCATGAAGGCATGCATCACCCCGTATTCAACAAGTATGTATCTTTTTTTGTTGTCTTATTATCTACTGATGTAAGTATGTAGAAAATTCAAGTTGAACAACTATGGTGCTTTTCATAATAAGAAAGTTTTATGCTAATCTAATCTGAAGCTATTCCGAGAGACGAAAATACCCTGCATGTTCTGTGTCATCTAAAGTTGATTGGAACTTGTTTTATTTATTTCATGTAGTGCCTGTATTCATATTGATTATAAACAGTTATAGATTGTGAATATCGTAAGAAATTCATGATTCTCGCAAATGATTAAACTTGTATTTTTCTTATGGCTAGATATTTTCTGAGTAAATCTACCCGAGGGTCATCTGATCTTTCTTTTCTTGATTTAACAATTTAAATGCCCATGTTATTTGGAGAGCAGAAATGCATCGGGAAAAGGGGAGTGGACTAGAACCCTGGCCACAAAGGCTTACAACTGCTCCACCGCGTTTACAAGAAATTGGTATAAGCGTTGAGGAATTTCAGAAAGACACAGTAAGGCTCTTAAATGCTGGATTGCTCCCATCCAATTATCCACGATAAGTTGATTTCTTTCGTTTTTGGCTAAACTTGTCGTTTGTGTATCTTAATATCAAATGCCTACCTGTTGCAGGACGTATGGCATTTCAGAGTGGCAGAGTATTGGAAACAGATGAAATCTGTTATACAGAGGAACTCATTCAGAAATATCATGGACATGAACTCAAACCTCGGGGGATTTGCTGCTGCTCTAAAAGACAAGGATGTTTGGGTGATGAACGTAGCTCCAGTTAATGCATCTGTCAGATTGAAGATAATCTATGATCGAGGCCTCATTGGAACAGTTCATGACTGGTAAGTAAGCATTTATTTTTTACAACAGTCCTACCTTCAATATAATATAATAAAACCCTCTTTCTATTGACATTGCTGTGCAAACTTAATGGGGGGTGGCGACTCCTCACTTCACTACGAGACGGTAAAATCAATTTCTTGGAAACTGGGTGGTCCGAAAGATTCGATTTCCATAATTTAAATATTGTGGTAATCCAGTGTACATTTAATTTGCAGGTGTGAATCATTTTCAACATATCCCCGTACGTATGACTTGATACATGCATGGTCAGCATTCTCAGAGATAGAGGAGAGAGGTTGCAGCTGGGAAGATCTGTTGATTGAAATGGACCGAATGCTGAGACCAGAAGGTTTTGTGATCATCAGAGACAAACCTGCTGTCATAAATCATATACGTAAATACTTGGCTTCTTTCAAGTGGGACAAATGGTCTTCGGAGGTGGAACCTAGTACTGATGCTCTCTCTACTACAACTGAAGAAAGAGTTCTCATTGCAAGAAAAAATTTGTGGGACGAAGATTCGGAGTTATAAATCTGGTTTAATTTACTTCAGCCGTACATATGATCTGCTGTTTCCATCTAGTAGTAATTGTTAGGTGGGAAGTTAAATCACTTTTGTCTTTGTTTTATTTATTAATGATGAGGATTGTATTCCATTTTCAACGGTTCATGCAAAAGTGCATATTTGTGATACATTTGATCCTCCTCTGCTATTATATTACATCCTGAATTAAAGACATGCTATTTTCTTTAGTTTATAAAGATAGATGGATTCTAGTTCATCATCTATGTATATCATCAAAAGTTAAATAAAATTAAGGTTGACATGGATTTTGGTATTTATGGGTTATAATGGATGAATTTATTCAAACCAAAAACCAGATATTTATTTGAATCCTGAGAAATACTTTAGGAGTGAAAATAAAAAAAACTGAAAAAATGGACTTGGACCAATTAGGTCTTGCAGTTAAGCCCATTAGTTCAGGCAGAGCCCATCAATTGGTTTGGAGGCCACGTGTACATATACGCGAATTTCCCGCTAATCCCTATTCAGCAACAATTTAATCCTTCCTGTGTACGCAGATTCTTTCACAAGCTAACGTAAAATTTATTATTGAGAACAAAGAATTTAATGAATTCTTCTGCCTTTTAAGTTGATTTCCGGATATATTTTTTTTGAGAAATTTTTCTTCTGAGATTTAAAAAAATAAAATAAAAATAAAGTTTGGATTATGGATTCTGAAATGAAAAAGAGGGATGAAAATCAGTATTCGCCTCGACCAAATGGTGGCTCACAGAGTACTCCACTCAAGCTTCCCTTCATCATTGGTAAAAGTTCTTTGCAACATTCTGTTAATTCTTTAGTCATAAATTCTGATGATTTTTTTGTTTTTGTTATCAAAATTGTTGTTTTTTGATTGATTTGTGACTGAAGGTGTTGCTGGTGGGACTGCATCAGGCAAAACAACTGTTTGCGATATGATTATCTCTCAGCTCCATGATCAACGTGTTGTTCTTGTTAATCAAGTACGTAATTCATTCATTCCCCCCCATCTATTCTATTCTATTCTATTTATTTAATAACACATGTATGTATTATCAATTATCAATTATCAATTATCATCATCACATGTTTCTTATATGTGTTTTTAGAGTCACATTGTATCTGATTTTCATTGGTTTTTAGGATGCATTCTATCGCTCCCTCACTAATGAGCAGTTGCAAAAAGTGAGTGAGTACAACTTTGACCATCCTGGTATGACTTTTCTTCATTTCGATATATACCTATATATTGTATTATCTAATCTCTGCATTTTTTTGACATACTAATCATAGCTCCACGGATCTCTCTCTCTAGATGCGTTCGACACAGAGCTTCTGCTTTCATCCATGCAAACATTAAGGACTGGGAGAGCAGTTAGCATACCAAATTATGATTTCAAGATCCACAAAAGCGTTGAACCAGCTCGCCTGGTACTTAAATAACCCTTTTTTAGTTAGACTTTTCCGTATATTCAAATTTCAAAGTCTTGTAATGCTGTTTTAAGACTTGGCATCACCTTTACCGGAGTTATAAAAGTTGTAGCACTGTATTTCCATTTATCATGATCAGACTTGTTTAATTATGCAGGTGAACCCTGCTGACGTAATAATTTTAGAGGGAATCCTTGTTCTTCACGATAATCGTGTACGCGACACTATGAACATGAAGATCTTTGTTGATACAGGTTCCTTGCTTTATGCTTTGTTTTCCTATCATCCACTAAATCATATTATCAAATGCTTACTTCGCTTTGCTATTGCAGATTCAGATGTGCGTCTTGCAAGGAGGATACAGCGTGATACTGTTGAGAGAGGCAGAAACGTTGAGAACGTTCTTGACCAAGTTAGTATTACACTCCTCTTAGCTTATTCATTCACTAACAGGATTACATTCAGTCCTGTGATGGCAGTGTTTGCCTTAGAGCTGCTAACACGTACACACTCACTCTCTTTGCAGTATGCCAAGTTCGTAAAGCCAAGTTTTGAAGAATTTATACTTCCATCAAAGAAACATGCTGATGTTATAATTCCTCGAGGAGCAGATAATGACGTTGCTATTGACTTAATAGTACAGCATATTCGTACAAAGCTAGGCCAACACGACCTCTGCAAGATTTATCCAAATGTTTTTGTTATACATTCAACGTTCCAGGTATATCTTTTTTGCACTTATATTTTCGATCCTGCAACTTATGAATAGAACGAAGAGAAAATTTGATCAAAATAAAATCTTGTTGGCAGATACGAGGGATGCACACACTCGTAAGGGACACAAAAACAACCAAGCATGATTTTGTTTTCTATGCGGATCGACTTATTCGCTTGGTATATAAAAGGTCACTAAAAATTTATAGTAAGGTCTTATTCGTTTATGTAATAATGCAAAAATGGTTTTTCATTTTTCTAGGTTGTAGAACACGGTCTTGGCCATCTTCCATTTACAGAAAAACAGATCACTACTCCAACAGGTAATGAACTGAAAGATTTTCCAAGAAAAAGATAGAAAACAATAAATGGGTTGCTAATTATTTAAAAACTTGGCATTATCAACACCTATTATAATGAAAATGAAGTTGCTAGAATGATTCTCCCCTCATCTCTTCGTATGCCTGCAGGATCTGTATATTCAGGAGTCGTTTTCTGTAAGAGACTTTGTGGTGTATCTGTCATTAGAAGGTAATGTAATTATCTCCACTAGGTTGAACGATGTTGACAAACTAGTTGTTTAATTGTTTATCCTTGGAAATAAAGTCATGAGTTTTTGTGGCACATAGTGGGGAAAGTATGGAGAATGCGTTGAGAGCATGTTGTAAAGGTATCAAAATCGGCAAAATCCTGATCCACGTAGATGGTAAAAAAGGTAGGCAGCTGATTTATGAAAAGCTACCATCAGATATTGCAAGTCGCAACGTGTTACTGCTCGACCCTGTTCTAGCATCAGGTAATTCATTCTTTCATGAACAATGGTTTTCGTAATGGTATAACAATCCTTTGTCTAAATATAAAAATTGTAAAATGATGATGCAGGGAATTCTGCCGTCAAAGCAATTTCTGTTCTGCTGAGCAAGGGCGTAGCTGAGTCCAACATAATCTTCTTAAACCTCATTGCGGTGGGTTCATTATATTCGATTATTTTTTGGACTCTGACACATCAAGTTTTGTAACATTTTGTTTGTGTCCATGAATTGAATATATGCAGGCTCCTGAAGGAATACACACAGTGTGTAGTAAATTTCCAAGACTGAAAATTGTAACTTCGGAGTGGAACCTTTGCTAGGACTG